CTGAAAACATTAATTTTGTTCATAAAATATATATGATTGGTATTTAAAACAACTATTATTTTTTATAAACATAGGCATGCCATTTTTTCTCTAAGTGTACCTGGTTAAATAATCACCTAATCGTTTGGCAAATTAGCGACTTAATAGCAAGCATTAATTGGCACATGCACAATTCTGTTGTCATCGCAGAACTCCCAGCAATATGAATTGTTGATATTACTCATACGCCTGGTGTGCGGCTGAGATTTAAAGACAATTCCAAGGAAAACGTTGTAATAAGAAGCGATTAGATAAGCAACCTCATTCGCAATTATATGATGCTCTCAATTAAGTATAAGTCATCGGTGAGCCTTGGCAAATTTTAAGCATAATAAATGAAAAAGGGAAATCTATGTTTTTCTTGGCTTAGCAAACCCACTCTAAAAGTCCGAGAAAATGTGAAAAGCGAAATTTGAAGCGAAATCTGCTAGCCCATTTTCTCATGATCGAATATTCATAGCAGGCAAGTGCCAATTGCTGAGCAAACTAATATCTAAATAGTAATGACGGGGGTGGCGGTAGGGGTGTGCCAACAAACAGGTTTGGCAAACAAATAAACACGCAACTTGCTAAAATACGAGTGCGATTGGCAAGGCGAAATCCCGGCCACTTGACACTTTGTTTGTTTTCATTACCAATAAATGTTTGCGCCCCTTGTAATCGGACTGCGATCAGCGCCCCTGCCACTGCCACACATGGCGATATCGCCTCGCTTTTCCAATGAAAACGCAAGTATCCGAGCCCGACGAGTCCAATTTTGGGTACTCACTTTCCTGTCCGAGCGTTTTCGCATCCGCTGGCCATATGCGATGGGGAATTCACTTGCCAAGCCGACATTTAGCCAAGGATGTTTTGCATTGCAATGGCAATTCATCAACACCAACAGATTTGTCATGCGGCAGACGCATAATTAAATACTTTCACCTGTGCGCCAGCCACCCGGTACACCTGCAGCCAACTCAGGTGCAGATACATTTTCATGGCCAACCCGCAAGTTGGCGGTGCCAATGCACTAAAAATAGGCGCATTGCCTTTGCAAGAGACACATTTTCCTAATAGCCGCACTTCACGCACGCCCAAAGAGACATCAAATAGCATAAAGTCAGGGACAGGTAACGTCGAGGTGGCCAGGAGTAAATCGTACTGGGAACGATGCGTGAAAATTACAATTTCCCACCTAGGGCCTTGGCACTTATGCTTATTCTTTGCCTTTGCCGACTTTCTGCGTTTTTGGACTAAAAATATCGCCTCGAGTTCCTCGTGTGTAAGTGATCCTGTCATATCTGAATTTACAATGCTTTGTGTCGAGCGGAAACGTATTTTAATTTTGAAAGAATGTTCAGTATCCAGGCAAACTCAAGATTGAACTATTTATCTGTGTAAAAGGTCAATTGAGTTTGGTAAAATTTAATTTCAAGATTTTAGATTTATATCTCTCCATTAAATCTTCTGTCAACATTTTATAAAAACTCGCTTAATTTACAGATATGGTTTTAAGACCAAATCCAGTTTAATGCATTAAGTCATTCACTTTGAAATAGCCAACCGTATTCGTATTCCTTAAACTTTTCAAACAAACTGTATTTGCTTTACGCCCCTACAAAAAAAAGTTTTTAGAACTTGTTTGAGGTCAGAAACGCTTTGAAGAAGCTGCAGTGCCCCATCCTTGAATGGGGTTTATTTAGACGCAGTGTTTACACTAAAAGCGGAGACCCAGCTGTGAGCTGTGTGCATCGAGTGGGCCCGTATCTTTCGGATGGCAGAACTGCAGTGCTGGCAGATACATTTTCTTATTTTCTTGTTATTTTTAAACAAAGTACACGACCCAAACTCTCTGCGTTGGCTGTGGATCTCGATGTGTGTGCTTGTTTATTTTCCGAGGTGCATTTGTTTGTTGGCTCTGCCTTTGTGTATCTCGCAGATACTCAATGGTCGGCTACGGGGTGAAGAGGTCCAGAAAGTTTGATGAGCGGCGAAAAAAGAAAACTGAATATTGTGTTCGACACGGCCCAACATTTGACACAAAAGCCCCGAGCTGCGGCAATGAACTCTGCTCAATGAAAGTGCAATTAAGTGCAGGCAATCGCTAATTACATTTATCGCTCACATGTTAATTATGCTGTGGCGGGGAGAAAATGGGGCAGAGGCTGTCTGTCTGAGCGCTGTGATGATTATGCAGGAGGAGCACCGCCTCGAACTCTCGGGAGGTCAATGATATAACCGATGATTAACTGCCGGCATTGTGGCTGCAGGTTCTCTTTTGTTTTCAGCTTCTCTTGCATCGCAGTGCGGCTAAAGGTCAGGTCACCTATCTATCTTTGATGCTCAGGGCGATGCCATATCTCAGATTGGTCATCTCCAGATACTTTGCTTTGTTTGTTTTTCGCTTGCTTGGTTTATAGCGTGCCATAGACTACCCAGCTTGCAGCTGCTGTATTTTAAACGGGTTAAACTAGCTGATAAATCTCGCGAAATAGTAGAGCCAGTGGATATTACTCACATCCAGTGTATAATGCAAACAGAGATAAACGTAGAATGAAACGGAAAGTAGAGCTCATCTATGTATGACTACTTTATGCTTTGTAAACTGTTTTTGATGCTCTACAGTAAAAATATGAATATTTGCAGTGGATAAACATAAGGGTGATATAATAATTATTTTTAACCTTTTATTGTTCTAATATTTCTGATTTAAAAAAAAAAAATCCGACGACAAACTTCGACAAGACTCGCGTGTGTGTTGTTAGTATTTAACAAATTTTGTTCGCAAATGGGAACCTTTTCAAAGGGCAAGAATGCAAAGTTCTACCTCTCACTTTTCGCCTGGATTATGTAAACGTCTTTTCATATTCGTCAAATGTCTATCAAACTAATGAACATGATAAGCCAAAAAATTTGCATATTTATGTTTAAAATTTGTAAAACAATTCGGGTGTGGCAAAACATATTGTATACAATTTTTGCCCACCAGCACATGTTCGTTTATTGGGCCGAAATACGCCATGCCAAAGCTTCAAGTTATAGGCCAACTTTAAGAGCCACGTTTTCAATATGGGAAAAGTCGGCGGCGCAACTAGTGAAAGCGCTACAACAGCAACATGGCAACGTCTTTGGTCGGCTTGGTTTTCCTTAAGGCTCAAGACTTGGGGCCAACCAGCCTGCAATCATATTTCACCTTAGCCTGGCCAAGAGTTTGCTGCACTTGTCGTGGTCGTGGTTGTTGTTATTATTGTTGCTGCGGCGACTATAGAAATAACTGAACACTTGCCATTGCACACTTGGCCAAGTTTGGCAACTTTTGACGGCTGCTGCGGCAACCAGCGAACCAAACCAGCTAACAACAAAACGAGTTGTGATGTGGCCGTTGTTATTGTTTGCATGCTAGCATTTCTGGCTATTTTTTTATTTTTCCATTGCGCGTCTATCCCCATTGGCAACATTTAATTTCATTCATTGCAGGCAGCGCCAAACGGCAGCCGCCAAAATTGCCAAAACTGCCAAAAAGGAGACGCAAACCTTTTGTTGCCCCTAGTTTTTTAATATCCTTCAGAGGAGTATCTTGAATTTCGCATAAAGTCAATGCCAACTTTTGACAACCTAAATCTAGAAATCTTTTCTTTTCTAATGATATAATATAAGCCAGGCTTTTCCATCTTGACTAATCCATTTTAAGGCTCATATTTTGCATTAAAGTTGATTTGCTAGGCCTTCCCATCTTGACTAATCCAAATTAAAGCTCATAATTTGTATTAAAACTTATTTGCTTTCTGAGCATTTGTTTTTTCCGTAATTCGTTTTGAAAGGGCATTTCCATTTCACTCTCCCAAATGCAATTTTCTCCAATTTTACGTCTATGCGGTTAGGCACGTGATTTTGTGTTTCGGTTTTCTTTTTTTGGCTATTTCCTTTTCGTCTTGTCTCTGGCCTGTTTTGGTTGGGGCTTTCAGCATTTTCCGCTGGGGACCGCGGGTTCGAAGTGTTTTATTCATCGTCAGTCGTCTAGCGTCATCGTCATCGTCTTCGTTTCCACTGAGTTTAATGCCATTTTCGTGCCCGAGCTGTTGCTTTGAATAAATGCCCAGCCGTACGTAGTTTTTGCTATTTGTTGCAGTTTTAACTGCTCGAGAGGCACTGGAGAGTCCAGTGCGAAATTCGCGAGGACGGGGAAGTGGACCGGGGAACCGTGGGGTAAAAGGATGTGGTAATTGCCTTGTGGTAGCCGACGTTACCTAAGCAGGTGTTTACGTCTGCGATTTTGTTTGTTTACCTTGTCTGCTATTGCAATTGAACATGCAATAAATTGTTCTTGCAATCTGTCGTATTCAATCTGTTTTCGGTGTAGACCTTGCCCATATTTTCGCATTTAATTTGCTGCATAAATAGGCCGCAAATCCACTCACTGCGTTTTATTAGAAATAAAGTTGAGAGTGTTTCTTACCATATTAATGGAATTTCTTTCATTGTAATATATAGCACTCTTAACATTTTTATTTTAATTTGGATAAGTGTTATTAATCGTGCTAGTTAAATTTTGTTCAACAATTAAAACATACTTATGTAAAAGTTTTTGAATTATAGGAAAAATGTTTCCAAAAGTGTGTTTTTCACTTCGGTTCTCTATCCCAGATATTATTAAACGATTTTAATCATTTAATATATTTTTTTTTTTGCATATTTCTTTGTCTTGGTGGCCCACGCGACTCACACACAACCTGAAATCCATCATAAGCCGAAAGACATTTAAAAATTGGTTTTCAGTTGTTGTTGTTCTTGGTGCTTTTTGAGATATTTGCACAGCCCACATGATTATAACGAAGGCCCCGATATCTTTAATTGGCCTCAACATTGAAATGTCACACCAGTTGGTAGCATAATTAGAAACAATAAATTTAGCTCTTAGTTATTTTAAATGCATTTGTTTTCAGTTGGATCTAACCGTATCACATTTTCTTTGCTTACAGTTAATGCTGCATATATGACAGGCCCACACGACAACGACAGCGACTGAGACAAGTAAGTTGAGTGTGCAATTAAACCCCGCAAAAAATAGAATATTTATGTAAATTTATATATCCATTTTGTGGTTTATTAAATTTGTTTCTCCACGAGGAGAACTTTGTCCGGGTCTGACCCCAATCCGTGTTGTAATGCAACTGGAGCGGAGTGAGAAGGCGGATTGAGGAGTAGGGCTTGCCCGTCCCAGTTTTGTTTATTTTTTCCTGTGCAGGCGGCATATATTTTTAAATTATTTAAATATGGGTTGAAGTGTTCAGGAAGTGAGTCCCACAGATAAAAATGGGGCATATTTATATACAATGATGCTGCAAAAGCTCTTAATTGGAGCTGGCAAGCATTAATAGTAATATAATTATAATCTTTAGTGGTTAAAAATATAAATAGATATAAAATAGTTTTTATCAGGTTGTGAATAACTTGAAAGAAACATTGGGAATCTGTTTGTTAAATACACTATCAATGAGTAAAGATGGTGATGCCATCTCTACTTAAAATGATGTCAACGGGATGCTTCAAAAAGGATTATCCACAAAGGATGCTGCTGTGCCGCAAGGAAATTGAATTGCTGAATGGCCACATTCTCCTCCTTGTTTTCTTTTACCGATGATGTAATTTGAAGTCGCCGGCAGCCATAAAATTGATTTTGCATTAAAATTCGTTTAACTATAAATTTTCGCTTGCGTAAGGAATAAAAATCGAGCTCGAGTCAGGGAGTAAACCACTCAGAATCAATTAATTCGCTATTTATATATAAACATACATTTGTGAGTATATATGTATGTGCAAAAAAGTTAAAGGCGCCTCGCAGATTCTCCCCTCATCTCGCTCTCTTTCTCTGGGAAAATGTTTGGCTCGTGGCTGCGAGTTGGCCAACCGCATCGTTTGCTGACCCAATTTTGTTTGGCTAATAATAGCGAAAAATGTTTAAACGAACTTACGCTATGCTGCTGTCTATTCGAATATCTTTCTGCCTCGGATTACACTTGATGGTACAGCACAATATGTTTAATTCTCTGCCAAGTGACAGGCAAACTTGCTTGTAAAAAGTTCATAGTTTTCTAAAAGTTTAATTTAACTTAAAAACTGCGAAAGTGAAATATGGTCAGGGTGTCTCAATATATTCGATATTTAATTGCTTTTTAGTGAGTGAAGCTGTACTGTCAGCGTTTTGACCAAATCCCACTAATTAAACGTAATTTATTTAGCCACGTCTGTTAGTGCCAAATAAAATACGCTAACAAATTTATAACAATGAACAAAGTTTAGGTTGGCTGCCAACCAAAAGTTGGCGACAAGATTTATTCAATCAAATCTATTTTCATTATTTTTCACTTGTCATCTTCTTGAAATTGTGAAAGCAGCGGAAAGGTACAGAAAAGCGCCAGAGGCGTGCCTCTTAATTGTCACACTTCGTTGAATGGTATGTTTTTTAATTTTCCACCAGCAGTGAGTACCCCTAATACCAAACATACTCGATGGCGCTTCCGCATTGTTGTTTGTGTTGCTTCGATGTCTGTTTGGTGTTCATAAATCAATTTGCTGCAATTTCAACAATTTTCGTTTGTCTGCGAGGCTGTCGATCAATTGGCATAGGAACTAAAATTTGAAGAAAAAAAGAACGCAAATCAATCAAACCACTGTCTATTTGTATATTTCTTTATGCCCCAGCTGTGAGCATTTGCCAGATCTTCTGAAGTGTAGAGGTGCTAAGAAACTTTATTTGAAATTGAAACGTTTATTAGTTCAAAATATTAAATAAGCCCCTATGACTTTGAAATTTTCCATTTAATTTCTTTAAATATCTTCGAAACTTTTGAAAACTGTTCACGTTTTAGCGACATATTTCTATCGGCAACTGTCACAAAATTGAACGAATAAAATAACAAAGAAATATTCAAATTACGTGACTTTCATGTTCAAGTCAGAAAGTATTTCTTGTTTGTTTGATGTTATTAGAAAGTGCCCAAACAATAGCTTTCTTATCGATATGTTCTCTAACTCACCTTTCTTACTCGATAAAAACAACACTTGTTTGATGGGTTATGCTTGTAGATACGATATCTATAAATCTATAATTAGAGTTTTCTTTATGTTTTTGTGTATATCAACTGTTTGTGACGAAGTTCTCACGTTATTCTGGTGGTTGGGATGTTCCTGGCTTTTGTTCACCTGTATTCATTGTATCTTTGTCATCTGTCTTTGTAGTGTTTTTATTAAATTGCCTTAAAAATGATTCCAGGCAGTTGCGCAGCTTCATTGCCGATCAAGTGGCTCTCCAACTCGCAACGAAACGGTCCAAGTAAAAAATTAAATAAATAAATACAAAATATTGTGATATAATTGAAAAACCTTGTGGTAACATAGAAAAATATTGTGAAAATTTGAGCAAACGAGTCAATTGCTTCAGGTGAGCAAACAATTTTGACAATAGCTAAATTGGAAAGAAATAACAAAATGTTGAACAGAATTAATTATTTTTTGTTTATGAATGAGACTACTATTTAATACAAATTTCCTGGCCATCGGCCAATTTAAAAATAGGAAAATAAAGAAAAAATTTCAGCTTTTCAAACTGAAATGGTTCATTTGTTTTCGAGAACCTTGATCTTGTCCGCCAGCCATGTGCAACACTTTATAAACCATGAAATCTTCCGTTTACTCAAAGTCCACAATTCAGTTTTTATTTATGAATATATGAGTAATTGAGCTGTACCGAATGGTGGGATATTTTTGGGCCACCCTCGAATAGTATGCGAAAATGTGCACAGAGATGAGTCACCCGCTCATCTAACCCCCAATTCGAAAGGGAAAGACTTATGCAGTTTACCCTCGCCCAAATTTTCGGTAAATTTTATTTTCCCTCCCTGCCTCAACAAACTTCACGTTGTGACGACAGTTGGCTGATTAAAACAGCAGACGAAAATCGATAAGCGCTAAACTTTTCATTTTCTTTCGACTTTAATTTTCGTGTTTCATCTCTCTGCCCACACTCCCCCATTTCTCTTGGCATTTCTCCCTTTCGTCCGCGCAATGACATAATGTGGTGTGTGCCCAATGTGACCCACAAGTCTTTTGTTTAACCCAGACAAACAAAAAACAAATAGTGATTGGGAGGGAGCGAAAGAGACCAAGAATTACACGCAAAAAAAAGAGCAGGTCAGAAGTCAAATTTTATTAACGTAGTTCGTAGCTGAAATGCAAAAGGTGTTAACGTTAATGTTTAGGGTCAAGTAATATTGTCCTTAAGGTACCCAAATTCTATAGTAAGCTTGAGAATCTATAGATTTTGATCCAATCCATTTTAACCGAAGAATTTCCTTTTAAGCTGAACCTTTTCTTTGTGTGTAGAGAGCTGGCGAGTGAGACTGTCAAGCTGTCGCCAATTGCGTGACCCACCCCCTTAGCTACCCACCGCCCCTTTTTCGTTTGAACAGTGGGCGTGGTCGGGGCACTGAGCGAGCTCTTTTTTTTATGACTTTCTTGGCGCCAATCGAATTTTGGTCCCCAAACTTTAATAGACGATGAGACAACAGAAATTGGACTGACTGAGGCTTGGCATTGGGCAAGGGATTTGTTGTGTGGGTTGTTGTAGAACAATTTGTCAGGGTTAATATCTATGCAAAAAAGGAACCGCTTTGAAAGCATTTCCTTAAGCACGCAACGAAAGGACTTCCTTTTCTGTACCAAAATGTTCAGTCTCATAAAAGGAACCTTCCGTTTATCTCATTGTTCAAATTGACAGATAGATAAAATAAAGGATTTGGGCATACCCATATCATCTTCTTGATAAGTAATTCAAACTATTTTTTCACAATATAAGATGCTTTAGAATTTTGTCAGTAATGAATATTTACAACAGAAAAAAAGTGAAGATTTTTATAACCTCAAGAAACTCCTACTTTTATCTTCATTAAAAAAAAATGGAAATCCCAGCAACCCTTTGATCTTATCTCCAATACCTTGTTACCATTATACTCATTTTAGTGTATTTCAAACATCGGGAGAATCTACATTTCTTTGAGTGTTTTCCAACAAAAATATTTTGATTTCCAAGCAAAACCATACAAATTCATTGTTAATTTTTTTTAGCAATATCAAAAGCAAGGACCAAGACCGAATTAGGAAAGGCACAGTGCCGCACATAAAGCGCGTTTCAGTTTCTCAGTATGAATCCCACCAATTTGGGCAGGCAGAACGGAGCTCTGGTGCTGGAGGTATTGAAGGTGCTGGGTCGTCCGGCGACCAGTTACGAGGTGGCCGAGAGGGTGTCCGACGTCTACCGGCTACCGCTTCTCCCCATCCGCCCGGTCGTAACCGACGTTCTCGAGGGCGGGTTGCGCCAGGGGTTCTTCAGCTGCTCCAACGGTCGCTACTCGGTGGTACAACAGGTTGTGGACCAACTGGGCCGGGACATCGATCAGTATGCGGTCGAGATCCTGGCGGGGCGCAGTGCCGCCGGTGCCCTGCCCCAAATGTCGCCCCTAATGCTCAAGCTGCAGCAGCTGGACGGATCGCCGCCCATGGTGTTCGTGAACGGGTACCGCCGTACGGCCTCGGGAGAGCAACGCGAGCGGATGCCCTCCGGGGATGTGCCCCCGGACCCCCGTCTCCTGATGTTGCCCGTCTCGCCCCTACTGTGAAAATTCTCAATTTTTCAAATTGTTTCACCCATTGCACAGATTTGTGATTTGTGCAAGACAAAAAATCCTCTGGCGTCCAATAAACTCGAAGCAAGGCTGCGAATTTGGAACAAGAATAGGTTTTGTAAAGTTTTTAATTTATGGTGTGAGGTATAAGTTCTCAATTTTTTTGTTTTAGAATGAAATTAATTTAACCAATTAGTTTGTTACATTTGAATAATTTAGATCAAGCTAGACATGTAGATAGTAAGGGTTGCTCTTAAATCATTAATGTGACTGTAAAAGAGCCCCTTTTAGATGATCCACTAATCTTGATGTTCCCGAAAATGGGGCAATGACTCGTCCTCGTTTGTTCGTCTTTTTACCAGGGGCTATTGTCCTTTGTGCGAGTGAGCGAATAAATGCGAGACATTCACAACCAGCAAGCACTCGCACAAAGAACAAACAGCTGCGGTCTTGTGGCTTACTTTTGTATTTTTTATTTTTCATTTGCCCCGTCGCAAATGGCACTCCACTTCAGGGTTCCCACCTTGCAGCTCCCACTTGGCAGCGCCCATCTCCCAGTTCTCAGCTCCCAGCTGCTAGTTCTCGGCTTTCGGTTGCCGACTGTCCATTGTCAGGTTGTTGCCTGTCTAGGCCGATCTAAACAGAAGTTCAAACTCGAGTGGCAGCTTTTACCGGCTCATTTGCCTTTGGCTTTTGTCTGGCTCACTTGTCAGCTCTCAAAGGCTTTTCCAATTATAGCCAGAAGTTGGCTAAAATAGGTTTCCACAAAATGCTCTACTTCAGTTCAAATGGGTTTAATTGGCTATTTTTATTGATTATGAGGATGCAAACAAAACTGTTTAAGGGTATTCAGAAGTTGAGTTTTTCCCAAGTAGATTTCCTTGTTGATTTCCTGTTTTTTTCTACTTTGTTCAACGGTTTTTATTGCTGCCGTTGGACCTCGACATGAGTAATTCTGATCTTTCTGATTTCTGATTCAATTAATTGAAGTATAATGCTCCGGCCAGATTTGAGTTGTCATTTGAATCTGTAAGCGAAACAAAAAGGAGAGCAAACAAGCAAAATGATGACAAGTTCAGTTTAAAAGCTCTTTGTCAGTTCCATGGGGTGGAAGAATGAACGGAACGGGGATGTGTTTCTTTCAGCCTTCCGTGAATGTTTTAAAAGTAAAACTTGTATTCTGTTTACATTTACATACGAGGCAGTCCTTTATGATTAAACACGAGTTGGTTCGTTGACTTTAAAGGAGGTCGAGGGTTTGTTCTTCGAAATGAGACTTTTTAAACCTTACTTTTAGTTACATTCAAACCAGCAGTTTTTAATCAGTTTCAAAGACTATTTGGTTAAAGTTAGTTAAAGTATCATTAATCTTTTTAATTATCAGATTTAATACTTAAAATAATGTACTATTTAAAGCTCAAATTTATATTATTTTTCTTTTTATTTAATTGAAAAGATGTCTATAGGGTATAAAAACATTGCCAACAAACAAACAAACAATACTTTTAATAAATCGCTTAATTAAATAAAATTAATTTGACAGCCAAGACAGTGCAAGCGAAATCCCTGGCAAATAAACAGATATACTTTTATATGATATATTGGAAGAGGGAAAATGTGAATGAAAAACTTGTCAAAAATAAATTGAATTCAGCAACGAAAACGAGCAAGTAAACATGTGTGAGTTGTATTTCTTCAACTGTCGTGTTCGAGTGTCGTTGTGTAGTAGTCGTAGTCGCCAATTTAAAATACTCTACTAATTGTCAAACCTCTGTCTTCCCGCAGAATGAGCCGCCAACATCAGCGGCACCACCAGCAGCACCACCACCTGCCGCCGCAGCAGCAGCAACCACTGCAGCAACAACAACAGCAGCAGCAGCAGCAGCTGACGGCGCAGCAGCAGCAGCAACATCAGCTGCTCATGGCGGAGCACGCGGCTGCCGCGGAGGCAGCGGAGCTGTTCGACCTGCTGTGCGTGGCCACCACGATGCGCCAGATCCTGGCGCTCCATCGGGCCATGTGCGAGGCGGTGGGTCTGCGGCCGTCGCCCCTCAACGACTTCTACCCGCGGCTCAAGGCCAAGGTGCGGTCGTGGAAGGCGCAGGCTCTGTGGAAGAAGTTCGACGCCCGTGCCGCCCATCGGGTGTACGGAAAGGGAGCCGCCTGCACCGGCACCCGCGTCCTGGTCATCGGAGCCGGCCCCTGTGGCCTGCGCACCGCCATCGAGGCGCAGCTACTGGGTGCCAAGGTGGTGGTGCTGGAGAAACGCGACCGCATCACCCGCAACAATGTGCTCCATCTGTGGCCCTTCGTCATCACGGATTTGCGCAATCTGGGCGCCAAGAAGTTCTACGGCAAGTTCTGTGCCGGCTCCATCGATCACATCTCCATCCGGCAGCTGCAGTGCATGCTGCTTAAGGTGGCGCTGCTCCTGGGCGTGGAGATCCACGAGGGCGTTAGCTTCGACCACCCCCTGGAGCCCTCCGGCGATGGTGGCGGCTGGCGGGCGGCGGTCACTCCCGCGGATCATGCCGTCTCCCACTACGAGTTCGATGTGCTGATCGGGGCGGATGGTAAGCGAAACATGCTGGACTTCAGGCGGAAGGAGTTCCGCGGAAAGCTGGCCATCGCCATCACGGCCAACTTCATCAACAAGAAGACGGAGGCGGAGGCCAAGGTGGAGGAGATCAGCGGGGTGGCCTTCATCTTCAACCAGGCCTTCTTCAAGGAGCTGTACGGCAAGACGGGCATCGACCTGGAGAACATCGTCTACTACAAGGACGAGACGCACTACTTTGTGATGACGGCCAAGAAGCACAGTCTGATTGACAAGGGCGTCATCATCGAGGACATGGCCGATCCCGGCGAGCTGCTGGCCCCGGCCAATGTGGACACACAGAAGCTGCACGACTACGCCCGCGAGGCAGCCGAATTCTCCACCCAATACCAAATGCCCAACCTGGAGTTCGCCGTTAATCACTACGGCAAACCGGACGTGGCCATGTTCGACTTCACCTCCATGTTCGCCGCCGAGATGTCCTGCCGCGTTATCGTCCGCAAGGGCGCCCGCCTGATGCAGTGCCTCGTGGGCGACAGCCTGCTGGAGCCCTTCTGGCCCACAGGATCGGGCTGTGCCCGCGGCTTCTTGTCGAGCATGGACGCGGCCTATGCCATTAAGCTGTGGTCCAACCCCCAGAACAGCACCCTCGGTGTGCTGGCCCAGCGTGAGAGCATCTACCGACTGCTCAACCAGACCACGCCGGACACCCTGCAGCGCGACATCAGTGCCTACACCGTGGACCCGGCCACACGCTACCCGAACCTCAATCGGGAGTCGGTCAACAGCTGGCAGGTGAAGCACTTGGTGGATACGGACGATCCGTCCATTCTGGAGCAGACCTTCATGGACACGCACGCCCTGCAGTCGCCGCATGTGGACACGCCCGGTAGACGCAAGCGACGCAGTGGAGGTCGGTCAATGAACTTCAATTATTCCGCCCGTATTTAATAGTTATTTTACATCTTTTTAGACCTATTGCCGCAGGGGGCCACTTTGCTGAGATGGATTAGCGCCCAGCTGCATGCCCATCACTTTATTCCGGAGCTCAAGGAGGCATCGGATGTGTTCCGCAATGGACGAGTTCTCTGTGCGCTCATTAATCGGTGGGTTTTTCCATCACATTTTGGGGCTTAAAACACAAACTTAAAGACTTTTCCCTTAGCTATCGCCCTGATCTCATCGACTTTGCTGCCACCAAGGACATGAATCCCATGGAGTGCAATGAGCTGGCCTTTGCCGTCCTGGAGCGCGAACTGCACATCGATCGGGTCATGAGCGCCAAACAGTCGCTCGACCTGACCGACGTGGAGTCGCGCACCTGGCTGAACTATTTGGACCAGATATGCGAGCTGTTCCGCGGCGAGATCCCGCACATCAAGCACCCCAAGATGGACTTCAGCGATCTGCGGCAGAAGTATCGCATCAACCACACGCACGCCCAGCCCGATTTCTCCAAGCTGCTGGCGACGAAGCCCAAGGCCAAGTCGCCGATGCAGGATGCTGTGGACATACCCACGACGGTGCAGCGGAGGTCGGTTCTGGACGAGGAGCGGGCCAAGCGGCAGCGCCGCCACGAGCAGCTCCTCAATGCGGGCGGAGCTTCGGCGGGAACTGCCGGAGTGGCTGGAAGCGGAACGGCCACCAGTGCGCCGCAGGGTGTGTTGAAGATTACCATCTTACACCATAGTCTGGCAAATAAGTGAATCTCGGAGGGGCTGCAGGCTGCGCATTTATGTCAAATTGTAGAGTGGCAATAAAGTCTAGTCTAAACTAGTTTTGATCGATTTTGTATAAATTATACTTCGCATAGCTCCATTTAAATACTTCATTTATGCACTTAGTTGGAAAAGATTCATTTTTACAAATTGGATTAAGAATAAGATAGAACCAGAGAACTATGCGAAGTATTGTTTTCAAAGCGGCTTTTAAACTAGATTAGAAGCTTGATTAAAGTGCAACTATAGTGCAACTTTATATGTAGCTATGTATGTCGCCTCTCCAGAGAATTGTTTATTTGCATCCATTTATAAATGTATACTCATTGTTAATTTATTTTTGCAACAGGTCAAAACGATACACCACGTCGGTCGAAGAAGCGCCGCCAGGTCGACAAAACCGCCAATATTGTGAGTAAATGCTGGCATTATATTTTAACATGGATTGGTTCATACGCGAATGTGCAGAAGGTCTGAGCAGTGACTTTGCGGCACTCAATTCAGCCGTTTGCACATTTTGTTATGTAAACACATACATTAAGAATATTTCTCGTTCATTACCATTGATCGTTTAAAATTGTTTAAACTCAGCTCAAGTCATGTACATTCAAAGAAATTAATTGTTAATCACAAATGTATAACAAGCAAGAAAACCAAATTCATAAAACCAAACCATCGAAAATCTGTTCCCAAGGTTCAGCTCCTGCTGAGAACAGCTCTCTGTCATGAAATCAGTAACGCCATTAGCGCATTCGAAACCATCAATGAGGTCAGTTCGCTCAGTGTCCAAGTGTCCCAGTGTCGTCTACATGTCCCATCGTGTGATGCGTAACCCTCGACCCCACACTAACCAACGTAGCATTTTCCCAGTCAAGCCAAGTAGTCATTGTAGTCATTTAGATCTAGATGTCCGTTCTGTGTCTGCGTCCCACGCCAAAGCACTCAAAACATCCCCTAGTTCCCACAATCACACTCGCTCGAAAAAAAACAAAGTCCCCTGCCCCAGAATCCGAACCAGAATCCAGAACCCCTCCGAATCTGTCCAATGTGTGTTGACTCTACCCTCTGCCGCGCAGGAGGAGCGCCAGCAGCGCTTGCAGGAGATCGAGGAGAATCGGCAGGAGCGGATGAGCAAGCGGCGCCAGCAGCGCTACCACCAGACACAGAACTTCTACAAGAGCCTGCAGCTCCTCCAAGCGGGCAAGCTCCTGCGGGAGGGCGGCGAGGCCGGGGTGGCCGAGGATGGCACCCCCTTCGAGGACTACTCGATATTCCTCTACCGCCAGCAGGCGCCCGTCTTCAACGATCGTGTCAAGGACCTCGAGCGGAAGCTTCTGTTTCCCGTAAGCGACGAGAATCCCCGGATCTCGATCTTGCACGCTGCGTCTTCTGCTGTGTTGTCGTTGTTGTTGTCTTGACCTGTTTTGGTCCTGCGCGGGCCACTGTTGATCCTAACATCTGACTAATGCTCCAGTTTTGCCCCTTGAAGTCTCGCAAGAAAAGAAGATTGAAGCAACTAACAATAATAACTGCTTGAAGAAAAAAATGTTTCTAAAAAGTGTTGATATGTAACGTATTAACATAATTGTTCGAAAATATTCAAATGATATTTCTAACATGTGTTTCAAATAAATATGTTACGATTTGGTTCGAAATATTTGAAATTTGGTATACTCGAGGACACCTCCTTTTCGAAAAGTAAAGTTCGTTACCAAAATATAACTTCGAATGGCTTTGAACTCGTTGCCAGTTTGCTAAATGTTTAAAAACCAATTTAAAACCCTCGCGTCTCGGCTCTAATATCTGCTGTGCATTAACGTTAAGTTGTTTAAGACTCTAGATTCGGCTAGGCCAGTCTAACTCGCTAAGCTAAGCTCGTTCATCTAACCCGTCCGAAAAGGACATTTTGTTAAGCTTACGTTCCGTTGTTTGCCTTTTTATTTGATTGTTTATGTTGATTCGTTGCTAGACGATTAGTAATCAGAAGTAAAATATTTATGCCTATCTATACATTTTGATTTCTCCACCCCTTTCCACTCCGCCTCCGAACTTTAATAATTTAAATGCCCAAACACCAAAAAAACACGACCACAAACACACTGTCCGTCACCCTAAAAACCAAAGGATCGCGAACGGGGAGACATTCCCTCGGCGCTGCCGCGCACGGCGGACGAGCAGTTCAGCGATCGCATCCGGAACATGGAGCAGCGGATGACGGGACGCGGTGGTCTCGGCGGCGACAAGAAGCCCAAGGACCTGATGCGGGCCATCGGCAAGATCGATTCCAACGACTGGAATGTGCGCGAGATCGAGAAGAAGATCGAGCTGTCCAAGAAGACCGAGATCCACGGTCCCAAGGGTCGCGAGAAGGTGCCCAAGTGGAGCAAGGAACAGTTCCAGGCGCGCCAGCACAAGATGTCCAAGCCGCAGCGCCAGGATTCGCGCGAGGCGGAGAAGTTCAAGGACATCGACCAGACCATCCGCAACCTGGACAAGCAGCTGAAGGAGGGCCACAACCTGGACGTGGGCGAGCGGGGTCGCAACAAGGTGGCCTCCATCGCCGGCCAGTTTGGCAAGAAGGACGAGGCCAATTCGGACGAGAAGAACGCGGGCAGCAGCAATGCCACCACCGCCACCAACACCAACAACACAGTCATACCCAAATCTGTGAGTAATTTTGTGTTCTCCCACCACCACCACAACCACCACTCCTTGTATCTATTGTTTTTCGTTTTGTTTGGGTTCCTTTGTTTTATCGGTTGCTTTTTGCTTTGCCATATATTGTGCATTACCTTTGTGGTTGCTTCCTGCGGTTGCTGTTGCTGTTGCTGCTGTCTATGATGTTTTTTTGCTTTAAGAAAAAGTCTAGGCAATTTCCCATAAACACTCATGGTCATCAAGCCACATATACCCGCTCATTTGTACATGACACCCATCGAATGCAAAGCTGCAAACGTTAAATTGTTACCATTAATTGTAAACTAAGTTCCACATTCAAACATCGTCTAATATTAAACCATTGCTATGATGCAGAGCTCCAAGGTGGCGCTGGCCTTCAAGAAGCAGGCCGCCTCCGAAAAGTGCCGCTTCTGCAAGCAAACCGTCTACCTGATGGAGAAGACCACCGTGGAGGGTCTGGTCCTGCATCGCAATTGCCTTAAGTGCCACCACTGCCACACGAACTTGCGTCTGGGAGGCTACGCCTTCGATCGGGACGATCCGCAGGGTCGCTTCTACTGCACCCAGCACTTCCGGCTGCCGCCCAAGCCGCTGCCACAGCGCACCAACAAGTCCAGGGTGAGCATTGACCTGAGGTCCATCAAATTAAAATGATTTTAATTCAACCCACAATACCTCCACCCATCCCTGCAGAAATCCGCTGCCGCTCAACCCGCCTCTCCTGCCGCACCACCGACGGCTGGAACGGTACCCGCTGCGGCGGCGAGTACCGAGCCCATGGACACCACTCCGCCCAGGGACCAAGTGGATCTGCTGGAGACGTCGCGAGCCACCGCCTCCGCCTCCGCCGATGCCATGTCCGATGACGAGGCCAATGTCATCGACGAGCACGAGTGGTCGGGTCGCAACTTCCTGCCCGAGTCCAACAACGATTCCCAGTCGGAGCTGTCCAGCTCGGATGAATCCGACACGGAGTCGGACTCGGAGCTGTTCGAGGAGGCGGATGACTCGCCCTTTGGCGCCCAGACCCTCCAGCTGGCGTCGGATTGGATTGGCAAGCAGTACTGCGAGGATAGCGATGATTCCGATGATTTCTACGATTCTAGTGAAGGTATTGCGGGTGAGTGGGCACTCAAGGGGAAGTTCCAAGTTCGCAGAACTAACATTTTATTCGATCCTTTCGATTATAGACGATGGCAAGGATGACACCGAGGGTGAGGAGTTCAAGAAGGCCCGCGAACTGCGCCGCCAAGAGGTTCGCCTGCAGCCCCTGCCCGCCAATCTGCCCACGGATACGGAGACCGAGGTGGGTCACACTTTGAAATCTTGTCTTTTGGTGACGGGGAGACTAACCTTCTCATTATTCTCATTTATTCTCCTTGACTCTCTTACGATATTCATTTAATCTCCTTGTCATAATGGTGTTGGTTTCACTTTTGCCCTTAAAAATCATAAATTTTTCAATTTATTAGAAACTTAAGTTAAACGTAGACAATAAAGAGAATGTGGTGGACAGAAGCTCTCTGAAATCGGCCAACTCCTTTGAGTCCGCCCGCAGTCAGCCCTCCACGCCTCTGGCCACGCCCACTCGTGTGGAAATGGAGCAACTGGAGCGGAATGCCCCCCGTAAGTTTAGCAGTGAGATCGAGGCGATCAGCGAGAAACTTTACCACATGAACAACATGGTCAAGATGAACAAGGACCTCGAGGAACTGGCCAAGGAGAATCTTGTCAAGAGCGACATCCTACGCAAGCTCACGCTGAAGGAGAAGTGGCTGGCTGAGAATGCAGCCATAGCAGCTGGCCAAAAGGTGGCTCCGGCTCCAATCTCTGATGGTCCTGTTCTCCAACCCAAGTCCAAATTCGATGAGAAGTTCGAGAAGGTAGTGAGTCCATCTCAACCGGCGGCGGAAGCCAAACCCAAGCCTGTCATTGATTTCAATCTCGATGAGCTGAAGCCACGAAAACCCAACTTTGAAGAGCGTCCAAAGGAGCAGCTGCCTCGGCCAGAGGGTTTGAAAAAACCCAAGGGCAGCAGCACCAACGTGAGTCGTTCCAACAGCTTAAGAAGCAACGCCAGCAACGGAAGTCCAAAGGTGAAAAAAGCACCCATTCCCAGTGACAGCAGAATGCAAATCCAAGGGATCTTGGGCACTTTAAAAAAGATTCAGCGCCAGAACAGCAGCGATCAGGATGAAGAAATGGACGTAGATGATGAGGCGGATGTCGAAAGGCAACCCAATAAGCAGCTCAACAGCAAGTTAAAGGAAATCCAGGCCAGCAGCTTTGCCGGCACCATGGATCACATCAAATCCCAGTTGACAATGCCAACCGTAAGCGCCCAGGCACCGGCCTCCATGGACCTCTCGAAGTATTTCCCCAACCAGAAGCAGGAGAAGAGCTCTGCCAGCAGCACAAACAAGAACCAGGTGACCCTCAAGGATGTTAACCTGTCCAAATACTTTCCCAGCAGTCCGGCTCCGCAGCGCCGAACCGTAGAGACAGTAGCCGAGCGACTGAAGAAGTCGCAGACTGAGGCATCCCTGGCCAAATCCAAGGTCCAGGAGGAGAAGTCCAAAAACCAGGAGGAGAAGTCCAAGAACCTGGAGGAAAAGTCCAAGGTGCAGGAGGAAAAATCTAAGAACCAGGAGGAGAAGGCAGGGCAGCCCAAAAAGAACCCTGAGAAGGTGGCGGATTCCAAGCCAGTGCCACCCAAACGACAGGCCTCATTGGACACGTTTAGCTTAAGGGAGCACCAAATGGATGGAGCACTTGACCTGACCAAAAAGAAGGCTCCCGCAAAGGCGGCTACGACGGTTAAGAAACCAGCCAAATTGGGAAGTACCACAACCGTGACAAAAGCCACAGCCACGTCCAAAGGAAAGACCATTAAGATTGTAAAGAAAATTGTACCCAAGGGAACTAAAGCTAAAAAGGCGGCAGCCCAAGAAGCAGCGGCGGCTGCAGTCGAAGATACTCCAGAGGAGGCACCCCCACCCCCAAAGGATGAAGCTGAACGAATTTTGGATGAAATCCTGGGAGACGGAGAGGTGCGCTCGCCCAGCTCCGAGTATCAGCGATTGTTTCAGGATGAAAAGTCACCCAGCGATCTGTCCGACAACATTGATCGCATACTCGAGGAAACTGGGCTGGATCTGGAACTGGGTCTTCCCAGACGCAGTAGTAAGAAACTATTGAAAACCAAATCCCTGGGCGAGGGTGAGTTCGATTTGAAGCCGTCGAAAGAAAGACTGACTGGGGTCCAGAACATCCTCAAGCGATTCGAGTCCATGAGTTCGGTTACCTCTCAGACCTCGCAGAATAGTGAGGAACAGGCGGCGTTCAAATTGCGTCGCATGGAGTCCACCACCAGCAATCTGAGCAGCTTGACCCGCTCCAGGGAATCACTGGTCTCGGCCAGCGATTCGATGAGCGATTTGGACAAGACCATGGAGTACCTGCGCAATGAATGGCGCAACGAGGCCACCAACTTTTTGCAGAAGAAGCGCGACAAGTTCTACGCTCAAAAGGAGGAAAAGCCAAAGGAGGTTAGGGTTCAGGCTAAACCAGATCCTTTTAACGATCTACCTGTGCAGTATCGCGACTCCAAGCTGGCCAAATTCTTTGGCCTAAACGCTCGCAAATCACCCGAAAAGCGAATGTCTCCCATTAAGAAAAAGAAATCTCCCTCTAAAGCGCCCAAGGTGGCCAAGGCAAACAACTCGCTGGAGGAGCTGGCCAAGATTGGCAGCGTTCGCCAGGCCAAGCAGGCGCAGAAGAAGGCACCCAAAATTGTGCAACCGAAGCCCTTAAAGCCAGCCACTCCTGTTCCAGATGATTTTGAGGTTCTTGATCTGCTGGACAAGGCCACAGAGGCCAAAGAGCTGGAACGCTCAAAGACCAAGAGTCCGGCTGTGGAACCCACTAAAGCGGTGCCCATTGAAGCCGTAGTGGAAGCTGTAGTTGAAGTTCCCCTACCAGTAGAAGACATTAAGAATCTACCCAAGACAGGCTGTGATAAGTCCTCGAACAACTCACGTCGTGGCTCGCAATCCAGTTTGGCTATGTCGCGGCGGCAGTCGGAGATTTCTTTGAACGAGAAACTCAACCAGGAGGCACTCGTGGCCTTGAGCCACTTGGAAAAGGAACGGGAGGCGGAGCAGGTGAACGAACTGTTCCAGGGCATGGTGGAGGACATGGATCAGGAACCGCAGCCTGTTGCCATTGCTGAGTCCCAGGAGGATGACATTGATGCGGACTCCCTGTGCACCACAATCAGCAAGAGTCCCAGCGCCCAACCAGTCACGGTGGTCAAACGGGGCAGTTCCGAGGATCAGAGCATCGAGAAGCTTTTTAATCACTTCTCCGATGAGATGTTGGTCAATGTGGAGTTCGATTCCAACGATGAACTGGTGGGCATCACACCAAGGGCCACACTCGTTTCCAGAAAGTCAGCGGATCGGGATTATTTGGATAAGCTGGAATCTCTGGAACGGGACGAGGAGGCTTTCCGGCCGACTATTGGGGAGAAATTCCAGCAGGACAATGGCCAGGATGAAGTGGATGGCAACCACTTTCCATCACGCCCGCAGCGCAGACCCAAGAGCAGTTCTTCTTCCAGTGAACCATCGCTGCCGGTGGCTCCTCAAAGGCTGAAGAAAAGGCTGTCAAAACTGGATCCTGGGGATATGGCTCCCTCTGTACAGGATCTCCTACATCAGGTTTACATTAAGAATGTTCAGCCTCAAATCTTGGAAGTAGTTCCAATCGAAGGCAGTCAAACATTGAGGTTTCCAAGCATGTTGGCGGAGGTAGATATGGACCAAGTGGATCATCCGAAAGAGCTAATCAAAGAAAATGGTTCGGCTACTGAAGAAGACAAAGAGGTGAAAGTTACCCAACCAGAAGAGGTTCCTCAGGCCGTTGCAAGCCCTCAAAAACCAACAATCAGTCAGAGTAATTCGCTCAAGAGCGAGAACTCTTCCGGAAGCAGTCTAGTGGAGGTGCCAAAAATTATAACACCACCCAAGTCGAGTAGCAAGGAGAACTCCTCGGATTGGGACATGGAGAAGCTGCCCGCATCGCCCATGCCGCGCCGAAGGCTGCTCCAAGGCCACCAACAACCATCGAAAGCCCAAAGTGTGGCCAGCAAAGAGAGCTCCCTGGAGTGGGACATGGAGAAGCTGCCCAACAGTCCCATGCTGCCTAGAAGGTACAAGATGCGGCCCATTTCACCCAGCACCAGTTCCGTGCAGCTTCTGAATAATCTAACCACCGACGCAGACGACGAGGCGGCCCAGCGACGCCTCATCGAGGATTTCGAGCAGGAGAGACGGCAGGCGCTGATCAAGCGGGACGAGAGCTTCGAGGTCATTGCGGCGGAGCAGCGCAGACGCGACTCCTTGCAGAGCAGCAGCAACTCGAGTGGCAAGCGCAGCTTACCACCGCCCACGCCGCCCACGAAGATGGGATCCCGGCGAGGCACCACTCAGGACACGAATCGCACCCAGGACACGGCCACACGGCACGAGGGCACGCCGCCGATGTTCAAGAAGTTGGATGTCGATGGCAGCGCCACCTCGATGGACTCCACCACCTGTTCCACGCGACGCAGCTCGTTTGCATTTATAGAGTTACAGGACAACAAGCCGGTCATTGTGCCCATGCCCAAGAAGCTGAAGCTGCCGAAGCCGGACCAGCCCAGGTTCATTCCCGAGCCGGTGGCCATTGATGAGCCCGTGCCCGAGGTGTTCCAAGGTCGATCCTGGCCCAAGGCCCAGCTCGAGGGGGAGGGGGAGGGGGATCCAGAGGATCTGGATGAGGAGGAGCAGGCGGAGAAACTTAGGAAACAGCTGCCCGAATACGCTCGTTCGGATTCCCCGCCATCGGCTGCTTTCAAGAACCGCAAGTGGCCGGATGGAAAAACGGTTTTCGACAAGCGTGCTGAATCTCTAGAGGAGGATGATATTTTCGCCGGATTACTGGCCCCCAAGAAAAGAGGTTCGCAAAGATTCAAGGAAAAGCCGCGTTCCCAATCGCCGCAGCCCTTCAAACCGCTGGCCAATAGCTCCCGTCAGAGCTCGAAGTCGTTTAGCGACCTCAAGAAAGGACCTTCGCTGCAATCGTTGTCGGCGCAATCCAGCCAGGACACGGACACACTCTCCACCACCACCACAGTGGCCACAGCTCGTCCTGTGAGCTACACCAGCTACGATGACCCGATGGACGCCAGTACGCAGGCCTTGCTGGATCGCAGCAAACGATTGCACAACCGCAAGAGGGATTTCGTGAACGAGCGAGTGGTGGAGCGTAATCCCTACATGAGGGAGGTACTGCGCAGCACGGATCGCAGGGAGTACGATGATGTGGACGAGGATCTGACCAGCTACAGGCCCAGACACTATGCCAGTTCCACGCTCAATCGCTTTCCGAAAGCCTCGCCAAGGAAGAGCAACAACTACGACTACCTCAGTCCCAGCAGTGATTACCTGGCCAGGAGAAGCTACAACATACCCAGCAGCAGTGCCACTAGCGGCAGCAGCTACTATCCATCGACCAGCTCGCGTAGCTCACACCTGAGCGACCTGTTCCGACGACGCAGCCCCGCCAGCGGATCCGCATCCGTATCCGCATCCGCGCTTTCCGGCTACGGCAGCAAAGAGTCGTGCGTTATCTCTTAGTTGTTGAACCCTGAACCACTCACCAAAGCAGCCTTCTCTCTTTTTTTTTTTTTTTATTTATATTTAACCCCGTTGTGGCCGCAGACGACGCCTCAACTACTATCTCTACTGAGAGTCAACCCAACGACAGCGAAACCAACCCAAGAAACAGCACCCGACCTTTGACCCTTGACCCCGACCACCATAAAATACACTATAGGTCCCCGATCAACCCACCAACCAACCAACCAACCAAACAACCAAACAACCATGCTAGACCGCCCGCCCGCCTGTCTGCTCTCGATGTGCCACGCCTTCAAGTTCAAGTTCAAGTTCAAGTTCAAGTCCAGTCCAAGTCCTCCGAACAGCCAAAGACTAGATCGGGCTAGCAGCCTCTGATCGAGTTAGCCACTTGATTGAAAAGTAAATGCACCTGGGTACGATCTACGAAGGTAAATTCAAGCACAGCCGTTCCCGAAATGTTGCGCTAACCCCGAACTTCAGCAGCCCGAAATAAAGCCGAAAGTTTGTAGTCGCTAAACCTGTAAAGTCTTAAAGCCTAGAAATTACTGAATACCGATTGTGTTGTGTCGTTCTGTTGCCGTCCAAAAACAAAAGGTCTAACCCCCCCCACCCCCAGCCAATCAAGCTAATCCCGGCCAGCGTTTGTTCTATCCTCCAGCGTTCCGTTCCTTTCGTTTCCCTTCTGGATCGTACCTAAAGGCATGACGCCGCTGTTTTGTTGCTGATTAACCCACTACTCCGACTAATCAGCATGCGCGAACCAAAGGTGTTTGCTGTACATTAAACGCCGCCAGCGAGCGAGGTGTTTGTAGAATCTGACCGATCTCTACTGATCCCCGGCTCCCTTCGCTTTTGTTTTACGTTCGTTTACTTGCCTGTTCACCTGTCCTAGCCCACACTAATTCGACTGTTTTCCGTGGCTCCCATTGCAGGTTCAAACCGAGTCCGAGAGCACCTCGCCCGACGAGGTGGAGCTCAACTCTGCCACTGAGATATCCACCGACTCCGAGTTCGACAACGACGAGATCATACGCCAGGCGCCCAAAATCTTCATCGATGACACCCATCTAAGAAAACCCACTAAGGTCCAGGTGAGTGGTTGATAAACTTAAGCGAAAATTATTGCTAATTTATTTTGTTTCATAATATTAAAGTCCATAACTCAACATTTTAAAACCAAGAAACAAATTGTTTAGAGTAATCTGATTTTTTTACTTGAAAAAGTTACCAAAGAAGAAACCAATACTGTTTCAATACAAGAACGGAAGCAACTTTCGACAAGCCTATGTTTATATACCCTTGTAACTTTCATCAATAAAACCCCATGGTATGGTCATTAGTGATTCTAATTGATGGTTTCTTTCGCAGGTCAAGTCCACCATGATCGGACCCAATGCAGCCGCTGCCGGTCTCCATCAGAAGCAGCTGGCGGCGCGGGAGAAGGGTGGCAGCTACCTCCAGAAGTACCAGCCCCAGCCGCCGCTGCCGCAGTTCAAGCCACTGGTGCAGGTGGACCCCACCCTGCTGATCAGCAGCCAGCGTGCTCCTCTGCAGAATCCCCGGCCAGGTGACTACCTGCTGAACAAGACGGCCAGCACGGAGGGCATTGCCTCGAAGAAGAGTTTGGAGCTGAAGAAGCGTTACCTGCTGGGCGAACCGGCCAACGGCAACAAGATCCAGAAGTCGGGCTCCACCTCGGTGCTGGACTCGCGCATCCGCAGCTTCCAGTCGAACATCTCGGAGTGCCAGAAGCTGCTGAATCCCAGCAGCGACATCAGTGCCGGCATGCGCACCTTCCTCGATCGCACAAAGCTGGGCGAGGGCAGCCAGTCGGCCGGACAGTCGGCCAACGAGCTGATGCGCTCCGCCACCAGCAACGTGATCAACGACCTGCGCGTGGAGCTGCGGATACAGAAGGCTCCGTCCAGTCACTCCACGGACAACGAGAAGGAGAACGTGTTCGTGAACTGCAAGAACGAGCTGAACAAGGGCATGGAGTACACGGATGCGGTGAACGCCACGCTGCTGGACCAGCTGGCGCGGAAGAGTTCGCCCACCACGCCCACGAACAACAAGACGGTGATCGAGGTCATCGACCTGGTGACCCCAGAGAAGCCGGTCGCCATCATCGATCTCACTGCCCTGGAGTCGCCCAAGAAGCAGTTGGTGGACGGTGGTGCCATGGATGTGGACGATCGCCTTACACCGGACAGCAACAAGATCAGCGAGTTGCAGCAGCAGGAGGTTAAGGTGAAGGTGAAGGAGGAACCCAAGCCGGATGTGTCACGGGATGTGAAGGAGTGCATCCCAGACATACTGGGGCACATCAAGGAGGGCGCCGGAGCGAAGGAGCAGGTTGGTGGCGAGGAGCAGCAGAGTCTGCTGGAGCAGTCCGACGAGGAGAAGCGCGACTCCCCCGAGAAGGATGTGGCCGAGCATGAGCTTTACGAGCCGGACAGTGTGCAGATCCAGGTGCCCAATATCCCCTGGGACAAGACCAAGCCGGAGGTCATGTCCACCACCGGCAGCAGTGGCTCCATCTGCTCCAGCTCCGACTCGTCCAGCATCGAGGACATTCAGCACTACATTCTGGAGTCCACGACCAGTCCGGACACCCAGACAGTAGGCGGCAAGCACAATGTGCCCCGGCTGGAGGTGCACGACACTAGTGGCGCCTTGATGCAGGTGGACAGCCTGATGATTGTGAACGGCAAGTACATTGGGGATCCCGATGACGTTAAGTTCTTGGACATGCCGGCCGATGTGATTGTTCCGCCCGCAGCTGCGGCGCTGAAAACCAGTGAACTGGAGATGGAGGATGACCACGAGACGGAGCCAGTGACAGCCACGCCCGAGCCGGCGGAGTGCACGGTCATCGCTGCCCCGCCGCCGCTGCCCGAGATGGGACCACCAACACTGAAGTTCGACACCAAAAACGAGAACAAGATCGAGAGCCTGAAGAACCTGCCGCTGATCGTGGAGAGCAATGTGGAGCACAGTCAGGCGGTGAAGCCCATTACGCTTAATTTGAGCAGTTTGGCCAGGACGCCAGACACTCCGACCACGCCCACGGGGCACGATAGCGACAAAACGCCCACCGGCGAGGTGCTGTCCCGAGGATCCGATTCGGAAACAGAGCTCACGGCCACCGGACAGGGGCTAACGGAAACGGAACTCTCCGACTGGACGGCCGACGATTGCATCTCGGAGAACTTTGTGGACATGGAGTTTGTGCTCAACTCGAACAAGGGCACGATTAAGAGGCGCAAGGAGCGGCGTCGTGGTGGAGCAAACAAGCTGCCCAGTGGGAACGAGGTCATCCAGGAGCTGGCCCGACAGGCGCCAGTGGTGCAAATGGACGGGATCCTCAGTGCCATCGACATTGATGACATTGAGTTCATGGACACGGGATCGGAGGGTTCCTGTGCCGAGGCTTATTCCGCCACAAATACGGCCCTCATTCAGAACAGGGGTTACATGGAGTACATCGAGGCGGAACCCAAGAAGACGACACGCAAGGCAGCTCCGCCGTCCAGTTACCCCGGCGGCGGCAACCTACCGCCGCTGGTGACGAAGCGGGACGAGAAACTGGGCATTGATTACATCGAGCAGGGGGCGTACATAATGCACGACGATGCCAAGACGCCGGTGAACGAGGTGGCACCCGCCATGACCCAATCCCTGACAGACTCCAGCACCCTCAACGAACTGGACGACGACAGCATGGCTGGGATGGGCTTGTCCCAGACGCAGCCGACCACAACGGAGGAGAGTGAGGCGTTGACGGTGGTCACCAGCCCACTGGACACGTCGTCGCCCCGGGTGCTCGATCAGTTCGCCTCCATGTTGGCAGCGGGCAAGGGCGATTCGACGCCCAGCAGCTCGGAGCAGCAACCAAAGACATCCACGGTGACCAGCAGCAGCAGCGGTCCCAACTCCTCGACGCCTGGCAACGCATCCAAGGAGGGGCCTGTCCAGGAGGAGGATCTGCAGATCCAGTTCGAGTATGTGCGAGCGCTGCAGCAGCGCATCTCGCAGATCAGCACCCAGCGGCGCAAGAGTTCCAAGGGCGAGGCGCCCAACCTGCTGCTGGCCAATGCGAGCGCACCTGTGATAGAGTCTGTCGAGGATCAGCCCAGGCCCGCTGAGGAGAATGTCGCCTCGATGCGGTCGCGCAGCACCAGCATTTCCGGCAAGGTACCTGAGATTCCCACGCTCAGCAGCAAGCTGGAGGAGATCACCAAAGAGCGCACCAAGCAGAAGGACCTCATCCACGACCTGGTCATGGACAAGCTGCAGTCGAAGAAGCAGCTGAACGCCGAGAAGCGTCTGCACCGGAGTCGCCAGCGCAGTCTGCTGACCAGCGGCTATGCCAGTGGCGCCAGCCTGAGTCCCACGCCCAAGTTGGCCGCTGCCTGCAGTCCGCAGGATTCGAACTGTTCCAGCCAGGCCCACTACCATGCCTCCACGGCGGAGGAGCGGCCGAAGCCGACGGCGGAGAGGCCGTTGCAAAAGTCCGCCACGTCCACCTATGTGTCGCCCTATCGCACTGTCCAGGCGCCCACACGCACTGGAGATCTCTACAAGCCCCGTCCATTCAGCGAGCACATTGATGCCGTTGCCCTGACAGGCTACAAGCTAGGCAAGACGGCTTCGTTTCATGGCGGAAAGTTGGCTGACTTTGCCACGCCAATTGCTCCGGTGAGAGTTAACCGCGGAGGAGGAGGAGGAGGAGTGGCTGCACCGGATATAGCCAGCATTTCCGCCTCGACGGAGAATCTGAGAAGCGAGGCCAGAGCTAGGGCTCGACTCAAGTCCAACACGGAGCTGGGCCTCAGTCCCGAGGAGAAGATGCAGCTCATCCGCTCACGTCTGAACTACGACCAAAGCAGGGCGCTCAAGCCAAAGCAGCTGGAGGAGATGCCGTCCGGCGATCTGGCGGCCCGTGCCCGCAAAATGAGTGCCTCGAAGAGTGTCAACGACCTGGCCTACATGGTGGGTCAGCAGCAGCAGCAGCAGCAGTTGCAGCAGCCGCCGCTGGATCAGGATGCCGTGCTGCAGGCCAAGGCGGCGGACTTCACCTCCGATCCCAATTTGGCCGCCGGTGGCCACGAGAAGTCGGCGAAAACGAAGTCCGGCCGCCGGCCAAAGGATCCGGAGCGGCGCAGGAGTCTCATACAGTCGTTGTCCAGCTTTTTCCAGAAAGGAACTGCATCGGCGTCCGCATCGGCGGCCACCAGTCCCAAGGAGCAGGGCGTCGCTGTGGCTGCCGGCCACTCTGAGCCGTCAGAGCGACCCGGCACCAGCAGCAGCGGCACGCCCACAATCTCGGATGCGGCGGGCGGAGGCGGAGGCGGCGGAGTAGGTGGCGTCTTCAGTCGATTCCGCATCTCGCCCAAGTCCAAGGAGAAGTCAAAGGTGAGTGTTTGCCCCCGGGTAAATGTGTCTGTCGTCGGTGTTGATGTAACCAAATGTTGTCTGCCTTGCGGAGCTTGGCCAGTCCAAGCTATCGATTCGCCCGACCTCATCTAGCTTTAAGTTATAATAGCTGCCAAGGACTTGGTGTCTGGTGATTGGTGTACTAAGTGTCTCATTTATAACATCTAAAATTCTTTCCATCATTTTGCAGTCTTGCTTTGATCTGAGGAATTTCGGTTTTGGTGTAAGAAATTTTAACTATTCTAAACCCCACTCATCGATCACAATCGACTTTTCCAAAATTTGTTCCACTCACAAAAGCTTAGTCTTATGATTTTGCATCCCTTCATTTTAAATCAATTTGTTTCTAATCGCACTTCTCTCCATCTGAATGGGCTTTGCTCTTTGTCTGTTTGCTCTTCTATTAACCCAATTAAATTGCAAAAACTTTGTTTTAATTTGTTTTCATTTATTTTATTTTCATTTTCTTTTACCCAATTCCAGCTAAAGTTATTTAAGTCATAACTTTTAAGTTTGCCTGCTGTATTATTTTTTATTTCCTTCTATGCCTCACGTTAATAACATTTATGTTTACTTAAGTTTATTTCTACCAAAAAGGTAGCTGTGAAAAAGGTTTCCAGAAAAGCTTATGGATTTTAAGGATGATGCTGTGTGTTTTTAATTTTAAGTTTTTATTGGTTTAAGCATTGGACACTTTATTGTTTATTGGGAATCTATCTATAATTTAAGTTCAATGGACTATTTTGCATGATCGCTTGACTTTTGGTTATGGTAATCTATAAGAATTATTTGTTAAGTTTTTTTGCACGTTAAATGTATATACCTCAGATAGTGGGTAGTAAATAACATAATGTTTTTAAACAGAGAACTGAAAGTTGTTTATTTCTTCAATATGTCTTTCTCCATCATTTGATACCTCTGAAAACCACACAAACATTTAACCCCATATATATTCTGATACCTCCAAACACAATGCCACACACTAGGACAAGGATATGCTCGTCTGCAACGCTACAACTGCAGCAGGAGCCACATCACAGACCACAAACCACTCGCAAGAGTATCTGAACACCGCGCACAACAGTCGCTACCGAAAGCAAACGAACACCACGAAACCGAAACCCGAATCGTTCTCCTCATCCAGCCCGCAGCTCTACATACACAGGCCCCATCACCTGGCCGGAGGTCATCCAGGCGCCCTGGACGACCAGACACCACCGCCCATACCGCCTCTGCCACTGAACTACCAGAGATCCGATGGTTTGTTGCTCTCTCTCTCTCTCTCACTCGTTGTCTGCATATCGTGCCCACCCATGTGTCCCATCCCGACCCACTGATTCGTCCAAGTAGAACCCTGTTCCATATGGCTGTTAACCAACCTACACTTGCAGATGAGAGCTACGCTAATGAGACACGGGAGCATAAGAAGCAACGTGCCATATCGAAGGCTTCACGACAAGCTGAGCTCAAGCGATTGCGAATCGCTCAAGAGATTCAGCGGGAACAGGAGGAGATTGAGGTGCAGCTAAAGGACCTGGAGGCACGCGGCGTGCTCATTGAGAAGGCCCTGCGGGGCGAGGCGCAGAATATTGAAAAGTGAGTCCACAAACTTGATATTTAATTGTACTTCCAACTAACTAAAGACTCTTTTGCAGCCTGGACGCGACTAAGGACAACGATGAGAAGCTACTTAAGGAACTTTTGGAGATTTGGCGCAACATCACAGCACTCAAGTAGGTTTAACTACCAAGTTAAGATGCCTTGTCACTAATGTGTTTGATTTTCCATTCAGGAAACGCGATGAGGAACTGACCATTAGGCAACAGGAACTGCAGTTGGAGTATCGGCACGCCCAGCTCAAGGAAGAGCTCAATCTGCGCTTGTCCTGCAACAGTAAGTACCTACATATGCTTGAACTTGAAATAATCCTTACTTTTAATTTACTTTAGAAGTAAAAAGAAAATAACTCATTACAATCCATATTAAATGAAACCCACATTCATTATTTCCACTATAATTACAGAACTGGACAAAAGCTCCGCCGATGTGGCCGCCGAGGGTGCAATACTCAATGAGATGCTGGAAATTGTCGCCAAGCGAGCGGCCCTACGACCCACAGCCTCCCAACTGGACCTCACGGCAGCGGGATCGGCATCGAACTCAGCCGAGGCAACGGGCATTAAGCTAACCGGACAACCGCATGACCACGAAGAATCGAATGTGAGTAGTGGCAAAAAAATAAAAATTCCAATTCGAAAGTAACAAACCCTTCCGTTTCAGATTTGAATAGCAAACTTTCCCTGGAGTGTGCTGGTCGGCGAAGTTTTAAACGGACTGTTGAGCCTAAATACTTAAGATGACACAGGAGAGAACGTACCAAAAAGGCAGCTGAAGATTAACAATTAACAATACTAGAACCCATGAGCTGTAACCGAAACGAGCAACTAACTATTCAGAGTGATTAAGCAGGCAGAGAACAATTTCAATATATATATTTAAGTAGTAAGCCTAACTAGTTTCCGAGATGCGCGCAAGGTTGGTGTAAAAACAGGCAGAGAAGAAATCAAAACCAAAAACTAATTTCGCAATTTGAAAGTAAGGACAGGAGTACGATTGTTTTCGAGAATACCTTTAGTTTTGTATACAACCTAATTGTATGTTTAGTTAGTCGTTGCCACTGAAATCTGTCTGAACTTTGTAAGTCCTATGCAATATGTTTTGTTTTTTTAGTGCGTTGATTTGATGTGTGATTTCGAGCAATTGTAAATGGTCTATTTGAGTTTTCTTAGGTTACTTCACTTAGCGATTGTTTGTCGATTTCTGTGTATACCGTTTGAATGTATTATTATTTATTTGATGAAGCACCCGCACATCCTCCCAAACAGCACAACCCATGTATGTAATATGTCATCTGCTGCCCAACCAAATTCAAAGCAAACACAAAGAGATGCACACAAATATTTTCTATATGCGAGAACCTACATATATTGATGTAAGGGAGCGAAGCAAACATTAACTGTAACTAATGAAATGATTTAAATTATTGTGTAATTTTATTTATAACCTGCATATATAAACATATTTATCGAATTTATTATGTAACTTTTCGATTTATTTTGAATTGAATAAAGATTTTACGAAACCTAAAGATGGTGAATGTTGGAATAGGGGTTATAAAATTTCCAAAAGATGGCTTTGCGAAAAAGTGACCAAAACCTGCCTTTTTAAATCCAGATTTTTTTACAGACATCTGATTTCGAAGTGGACTATCTTTAATGTTTTGTGGCTTAAATCTCTACAAATCTGCTATAAACAAAAGGTTTGTACATGCAGATCGATTTTTAGTCAATTTTATGATGTAAATTCTTTCTAAATTTCCGACAAATGGCTTTACCGAAAAGTTAGCCAAAACCTGCAGTTCCAATTCCATAACTTTTCTTTTAGACATCCGATTTCGAAGTGGTATACCTTAAAAGTCTTGTGGCTTAAGCCTTTAAAAATCTGCGTTTAAAAATTAGTTTGTACTTGCGGATAGATTTTTTGTCATATTTATGACAAAAATGTTCCAAATTTCCAAAAAATGACTGCTGAAAAGCGATGAAAAGCCTGCAGTTCTAATTCCATATCTTTTTTAATTGACATCCGATTTCGAAGTGGTATACCTTTAAAGTCTTGTGTCTTAAGCCTCTAAAAATCTGCATTAAAAAATAGTTTAGCAATTTCGGGTCGATTTTTTGTAATTTTTTATGATGTAACCCCTTTCTAAATTTACGAAAAATGGCTTTGCCGACAAGTTACCCAAAACCTGCAGTTCTAGTTTCATAACTATGGCTTAAGTCTCTAAACATCTGCGTTTAAAAATTGTTAAGTAACTTCGGGTCGATTTTTTGCTGAAAAGTTACCCCAATTCAAATATAACGGCGTCAAGAGCTGCCACTTTTAGTGCACGGGGTGGCAACTCCCAGTCAGAGTTTTCGGTTCGTGGTGAATGTCAAAATAAACAAACAACCGTGATTATTAGACGTTTCAGCAAATTGGTTATTTTAAAAGATATTTATTAATTATTTTATAACGCAATGACTGACAAACAATCTGTTGGTGAAGCAGCCAAGTCCGTTCAGGCAACAGGTGTTCTCAAACAGGCAGAGAAACAGCTGAAAATCTCGGCACCAGGAAGTCTCAACTCGGGCACAACTGATGGCGGGGAAAAGGCGGAAAAGTTGGAAAAGCCGGCTGCTCAGCCCACCGCCTACAGCATGCGACCGGCCTTTGGAGAGATGTTTCCCCTGCCCACCATTAAGAACATAATGAACACCGTGATGGCCGAGAAACTGAAGGGTGAGTGGGAAAATCCATAGCCCATGTCCAGTTGCCTAGCAACCCCTTCCATTGCAGACAAAACCTACGACAAGGACGTGGCCAGGACGTGGACGAGCGAGATTGCCGACGAGGTGAATCAGCAGATTGCGAGCAGCTCACGGGTGAAGCGATACAAGCACGTCGTCCAGGTAATGCTCGGCCAGGAGCTGGGTGCGGGGGCCACCTACAACTCGCGCTGCTGCTGGGACTGCGACTGCGACACCTCCGTCTCCGAGGTCTTCAGCAACACCAGCCTCTTCTGCGTCTGCACCGTGTTCGGCACGTACCAGTACTAGAAGCTACTAGAAGATTGTGCATGAGCGACAGAACTGATTAGGCTTAGGATCACCTCACTATATTTATTTTCAAAGGGGTAAGCTCGACTTATCCGAGGTGTCACAGACGAGATGGGCAATTCCAAGTCAATGGGTCAAACAGAAAGGGCTACTCCCACTTGCAAAGCTTAAAAACCATATTTAAAGTACAAGCAAGAATGAATGTTGTTGTAAAGTTCCCCGAATATTAGAAACCAGTGCTCCAGCTTAACAATTTCAAATTAAATATGCCTATCTGCATGTTAAATTCCAAAACTCAGGCTTTTATAGTTTTATGAAGATAGACAAATGATCAAGAATAAACAAACTTTAAAGAATCGGAGAAGCTTCCTTTTACCTATTAAAAACTTTTTATCGATATACATTTTTACTCTTCAAGTAGCGGTTGCAAAAGTAAATATTAAGTACTAAGTTCCAACTCGTTTAGTTAAAGCAATCGATGGTTTCCTTTTTTCGTAATCCTATAAATTTTGATCAATTCCGCCTTAGATTTTAAGAGAATATTCTTGGATAATTCTTCTTAATGTTATAATGTTATTTGCAATCACTTAAAGCTCCTTTGACTTTCATTGGAATTCAATCTGCCCATGCTGCCGTGACACCTCTGTGTATTTACATTTAAAACTAACTAACTCGTATAAGTAGGCATCGGGAAACAAAGGGTTCATCACTTTCGATACTCGACCTTCGTCGGGCTTCATTGGATGCGCACGTTCAGCGGATTCAGTATGCGGCCCGACATAACAGCCACGTCCAGGTCGCGATCCACGATGAAAAACAGAAACGGATGATTGACGGAGATCTGAATGGGTTTCGTTTGCGCGCCATAGTTGCCTAGAGAGCGAAAGGAAGTGTTTATTGCTTATTGCACTTTGTCTCGCGTTGCGGAGGCTGCTGCAACTGTTGCAACACCAAAAGGGTGGGGCAATCGCGATGCGTTGCGGCTCAATGCCTCCAACATCACTGCACTCCACTCGACTCCACTCCATTCAGGTGTGCTGCAATGCGAGACACTTACGCTTCAGCTGATTGATTGGATGCGTACGGATGGTGACGTCTATGGATTGCTCAATGTGCCGCACGTATACGCCCTTCTCGTCAGTCATGGGTCGAAAATCGGCGCGATTCGGCTCGAAGACGTCACAGCTGCAACGAAAGTAAAAGTGAGCCGGGAACTGTAGCCATCACGCCCATGCTTACATTCCCATCTGCAACAGAAAAGCACAAATCAATGGCACAGATCAATAAAATGACCACGAAGCGCACTAATCGAGACTCACGTTCTGCAAATCGTTGGTCAGGAACATGGTCCCATGCAGCTTGAAGTCGGGTATGATGGCCTGCACCCAGCGCGGCTTCAGCTGCTTTCGCATCAGCCGGAGGGTGGGACCCAGCTTTAGGGAGGCGGCAGCGGCCACGATGTCCGTGTGGTAGTCGGGCAGCAGGATCATCAGGTTGTACTCCGGCGTGTCCAGTTCCAGCTCCAGCACGCTCATCTTCAGGTGCTCGAAGTACTTGTAGTACAGCACGGCGTTGTACACCTTGAAGGTGGTGTGCACCACCTGCTGGTTGCCCAGATAGAACACGTGGCTGATCACATCCGTGTTGTAGTTGGACTTGCCCTCGGCCGCCTCGCCCACGTAGTGTGGCTCAAAGTCATTGGTGATCGGGGCAAAAGCAGCGGGCACCGGCGGCGGAATGTGCAGCGGATGGTGCGGCACATGTGTGTGCGGATTGAAGAGCGTCAGGAAGAGATTCGCATCCAAATCCTTGTAGGCTGGCAACGCGTGTCGCTTGTGGCGTGCCATCTTCGTCTTTCGAGTCAGCGAGCTGTTTGCTGCCTGTGGAGCTATAATGGAAATTACCTGCCGTGTGGGCGATGGCTTTCGCTCCGCCACCTGACGAGCCATCATCGGCATGACCGCCGTCCGGACACTGGGCAAGTAAATGGGCTTCGGCGTGATGGGATTCGAGTGCTTGAGCGGCGCTTGCAGCTTGCTGGTGGGCAGTCGGGAGACGCGGGCCTTCTGGATGCGAAGCAGCGGCTCGGAGTCCTCCTCGGCCACAAACGCGGACACCAGCTCGGCAGCCTCATCTTCGCCAGCGGGCTCAGCCTCCTCCTCCTCGCCCGACGTTGCTGCTGGCGCTTCGGTGGTGGCCTCCGTCTCCGCTGGCGCCTCCGTTGTGGTGGTTGGAGGCTCTGTTGTTGTGGTGGCCGGTGCCTCCGTGGTCGTGGTGACCGCCTCTTCCGTTGTGCTCTCTGCATCCTTCAGCGTCGTGGTCTCCGCTTCCATTTCCACGGTCGTGGCATTGCTGGCCATCGTGGTGTTGACCATCTCGGCATCTGACGTTAGATTGGCTGGCGTTGAGGATAGCATGTCCACACTCAGATCGTATCCATAGAACATAAGAACCGTCTCAAAGTCCTTGAGGACCGTCACATTGGACTTGTTCAAGCTGAGCCCTTTTAGGGGATTATCGGAGCCAAAGAAGTAAGTCTACAAAGTAAATACAAAATATTAAACGATACGATTTTATCTTTATGCATGCGTAACAAAGTTCTGTCGTAAAACAATCTATTTAATAATTTAAGAATATTTTAAATTGTTTTTTCAAATGGTTTCATATTTTAATGTCTTCATATAAAATCATTCTCTTATTAACCATTGATTTAATTTATCTCGAGAAGTATGTAGAGTTAATATAAAAAAAAATTCGATGTGTATTATTAATTGGAAGTATTATTACGATTATTATTATTTTTTGACTACCCATTACAATATTTAAAATTATAAACGATAATTGCCCACATACAACTAATAACTTCAAATTAATTTATGCAAACTTTCCACCCAAAATAAAGATAACCATCGAAAAGCCTTTTTGATCCATTTAAATGCCCAAAATCTGATCAGTACATGGCTACATAATGATTGGCAATTAAAAAATCTATTCACTTGAACAATTGCTGGTCACTTTAGCCAGATTATCTGATTCAATGGGGTCGACGAACTATTGAAATCCGATTACAGATCGGCAGAGCAATGGTCTTGTGCCTGGGGCAATTTGTTTGGCAGTACGCACACTCAATTTTGGTTCTGTTCTTTATCAATGAGCACTTGGCATTCGGCATTCCGCACTCCAAACAAATGAGTGCTTAGCCAGGCGTGTAAATGTGGGTTGGCATTTCATTTGGACGTGGATTCGACGGGGGACAACCGCCAATGGCACTGGGTTAAGTTCAAAGTGGTCCATTTGTGGACCGAGAACAGTCTTACCCGCAGTCGTCGGTGGATGTCGCGGTAGCCCACTCGGGTCACGTCCCGATTGTTGGGCAGTTGGAGCACATGACGCAGCTCCTCGGCACTGTGGCCCGCCGATCCCTCGAACAGGGCCACCAGCACACTGACCAGAGCCGTGGGCGAGAAGGCAAAGTTGTTGCGGTTGAGGATGGAGTGGTAGTGGAGCAGGCGGTGGGTCAGGTCGTTGGTCAGGTCGACCATCACCTCGGCGGGCGTCAGCTCCTTGGCGGCCAGCACCTGCGGCAGGTGGTCCAGCGGCGTTAGAGGCGGCGGCGGAAAGTGCGGATGCGGGAAGCCGCTGGCCCGAAACTCTTCGTGGTCGATCTGTATGTAGTGGGCCTCCAGCTGGAGGAGCTGGAGCACCAGCATCAGCCAGGTCACCAGCAGTGGCAATCCAGCCATGACAATGCAGCCGACCTTCGACTGGACTGATTGATAGCGCACTTAGCACTCTGATTGTCGCGTTCGCGGCTGTTTAGCAATAAAATTGGCAAGCTCTATCCGCGCTCCCAAATTGCAGTCCGTTCATTATTTTCTGTTCCACTTTTTGTCCGATCCCGATTCAATTAGCCCAGCCGATGATCTGCACTCAAGGTGATGACTATTCCGAAATTCGTCAACCGTCAAGCGGCGGTCGTTTTCCACATAGTTTTTCTGCCCCTTTTTAGATGCAGTGGGTCGGATAGATAGTGTGTCTCGTTTCGCTTCTGGTTCGAACTGATTCGCGTGATTGCTGCTGCCAAACTGAAGTTGGGGCTGGTTGGGGAGTGTGCTAAAATACGACACCCGATCGATGGACATGGGATCGGCTCGTCTATTTGAGCTCGGCTTCGTGGCTCGTCAAGCCGATGTTACGTGGAAAATGTTTGCCATACCAAAGGTAAAAGAGTAATCTTCCTAAAGTGACATAACTATCAAAGCGGGTGCATAGAGGATTGAGTAATCAATTAAAACAATTCCACACAATATACGACTTAATTTAATTCAAGTCCCTAAAAGTTTTTTTTAAACTTACAAAAAAAAAAACATATATAAAAAAAAAAATAAAAAATAATAATAATAATAGCTAAAATAAATAAAAAACTAAAACAAATTAAGACAACATAAAATAGAAAATGAATAATAACGAATACCATCTGATGTACAAACAAAAAAAAAATTTTTTAAATATAGATGTATAGAACAATTACATAAAAAGCCAACACTATCTGTATCGGCAAAGAAATCTTGAAAAGATAGTCATTTCGCACCGCATTAACACTGCAATCCATCACGAAATCGATGAGAGTAGGGTTAAATTAATTAAATTTCAAGCAACAAGTGCTTCCAAAAGGGTCAATCACCAGCTGATGTAATATCTGGTAATCGAAATGACAGGCCCCAACACATCCAGTTGATGGATGGGTTCAGTAGCTTCGCGGTCAGTTTGAGGATAAGGTCATGCGGTCGCTAAGAAGCCTTTTACAAATTGGTTTTATTTTTTTTTGTGCCCTAAATGGAGTTGTGGACTTCTACATGGATGTTGGGCATGGGAGACTGCGCTGGTCCCGATTCCTTGCCATCTACAGGATAGTACACAACTTCGTAGTGTTCACCCTGACGACTAGGTTTCTACTGCAATTTCTAGAAGTTTTCTCGGACTCATCAGAATCAATTGTGTTAAGGGTTAATTTTTTCACCTACTTCACATTGGTTTTTCTCTACCTCACCAGCTGCATGGGGTGTTCCTATCGCTGGCGAAATAGAATATTTGTGGTGATGCAGAAGCTGCAAAAACTTAGGGAGCTTAGCAGGATAATGGGATATAGATGGTCGAAAGAAAATCAGCGATACCTGAATCGCTTGCTGCTTATAATGACCTTCCTTCTGATCCTTCGTCTCGGCATCCATTTGGCTCTATTTGCTCTCAGCACCAGGATGGGCTTTAACCATTCCTGCAACTGCTTTCTGCCCGAGTTCATGATATTTGCAATGAACTACTTGGTCTTTGCCATTGTGTCGGAGATATGCGAGTGCTGGTGGCGATTGGAGTCCGGCCTGAAGATGGTACTCCTGGTTACGAGACCGAGATCTGTGACCCACCAGCTACGCCAGGTGCAAAGGCTGCAAACCATGTTTCAGTGCCTAATCGATTTAACCTCGGAAGTGGGCTCCATCTTCGAGTTCGTTCTGCTAAGCTACCTGCTTCGCAATCTTTGGAGTGGCATTGTGGCCGGATACATGGTGGTACGCGTAATTCTCGGACATGGACACGCCGACAGGGAGTTTATGTACATTTTGCTGGCCTTGGTTACGTGTATTCAACCTCTGATGGTATCGCCCCTGATGAATTGTTTGGCCAACACAACCGAATTCCTAACCGAAACGGCCATGGAGGTTCTGAGGACTCCTCACAAACAAAGCACCGAGGTGGAGCGAAGTGTAAGTGGTTTGTGTTAGATTAATGGAAATTACTCCTTATCCCTCTGTTCTTACAGGTCGAATGGCTATCACTGCAGTTTGCAAGACAGCATACTTACATCGCTATTTTTGGCACATTTCGCATGAATCGCTCGCTGGTCTTTCAAAGCACATCGGTAATCCTGGTGCACGTGCTGTACATGGTGCAATCTGATTATATTGCAATAACAAAATAAATCATTTAGAACTTTGCTTACAACCTTCAAAACAAAATATAATTGTCAAACTTAAAGCCATTTTTGGCCATACTTAAAGGATGCCTTTTGAATCTTCTTCCACTTTTTCACCCAGTCAATAAAAACGCAAATGGTTAGTTTTGAAAGTATCATTTTTCTCTTGTCTTTTCTGTTTTTATTTTATTATAGAATTTGTATCTTGTTTAGCTTATGTCATAGAATTAGTTGTTTACGTTTTTATTCATTCTGATTTCGATTTATTGTTTAAAATCAACATTCATAAACACGTCCATTGAAATGATTTTTTAGAGTTCTTTCTTGCTTTCATTGTTGTATATTTTTCATTCGCTTAAAATAGTTTTGAAAATGATTTAGTTTGTGGGATCTGTTTTTAGCGTGAGTGGTGTTTGGAGTAAATGCCTTGGTGTGATGAGAGTGATGGTTGCTTAGGTTTACGTACATATGCAGAGCAGTGTTTTGTGGACATCCAATCCGACACGCTGCGATTTGATGGGTAATGGCTGATCTGGAGTTGGAATAACATTAATGCAGGACATGAAGCATAAAAAGCCAAACCGAGCAACAAGTACTTAAGTATTTCTATTTCCCTAGCTGCTGTGATTTGTAGCTCCGATCTGTACATTGAGTGTAAATATACAAATATGCCGTTTGCCCGTATATAAAGACGCAAAATATATATATTTATATATATATATAATTATGATCTGTAGTTTGTGTGTTCGTTCGTGTTACCCTCGCTTCGTACTTCCTTCCTATATTTTTGTATGTCTAAAATTGTTCGCGCGTAAAACGTTTTCCATTAGTTTCGATTGCATTTGCTGCACAATTTGCTTTGCAAAAAATATAGTCGCCCATGCGCGCTCTCTATCTCTTTCAGTTTTGTAGGTACTCGATTCTCACCAATGTTCAATTGAAGTGTTAAACATCTCTGCTGCTCTGTATTACGGATATTCGTTATGTTTTGGGGTCATTGGGTCATGGGGTCATCGGGGGGGAGGGTCAATAGTGATTGGGGTCCTCGAGTTTAGCTGCTATTACGTTAGTTTCGGTCGGTGTGGACTTAAGCTTTTCACATTGAGACAACGGTACGTATGATTAATGCACATCTATGTATCTAGGGGTACAGCATATATGTATAGGTATATGAACAATCATTGCCGTCAGAAAGGAGTTCTTGTTCTTGCTCTTGCTCTTGCTCTTGCTCTCGTTCGCTACTCGTAATTTCGGTTAGATATATGTATGCATATGGTTATATATATATAGTATCTGTATTTAAATATATACTGTATACATGTATAATTATATGCTTATTTAGCTGCTGCTGCACAGTGGCTGTATTTGTTTTAACATGGAATATACACGACACTTAGTTGCTGGTTATTTACTTGGTTTCATATGGTTTTCGTTTGGAAATGCAAAACTCCGTTATGCTAGCTCATAAATTATCATAGTATTATCTGTGTCTGTGGTGTCTTCTGTGTGCTTCTCTGCTTCTCAGCTTCTGAGCTTCATAGCTCATCTTTCATCTTTCACCTGCTCCAGGCCTTCGCCTCTGGCTAATGGGCGTGGCAGAGGGTGGATGCCGCCCCAATTGCGCCCTTTTTGTACCTTGTTATGTGGTGATCAGTGGCGGCGATCCTGGCGACCGCCGCCTGCCTTTAAAGTATGCTCTAGCCTAACTTCGCCGACAACCAGTTCAACCAGTTGGCTAGTCCAAGCAGAACCGAGATAAGTACACAGTGGGGGTAATAGAATCTTTGTAACAGCAAACAAGTCAACAAGGTAAACAAAACAAGGATGAATCGATCTGATAGGGTTAGTTACTTCTATAAATGTAGACACAACAACAAGTATATATCATAGATTCATCTCATTAATCATCGCTTACGAACTACACATAAAAACACGAAAATTTCAAGGTGATGATCAATGGTTGTGGGTGTGTTTTGTGCGTGTGGTTGGGGGTGTGGGTGTTTCTGTGGGTGTTTCTGTGGGTGTGTGTGTGCGTGTGCTGGGGGATGCCCCTAATGCTAGACATACAATTACAAATACAAATACAAATACAAATATAAATGTGGTGGGAACGGGGGGAGTGGGAGCATCTAATTTTAATCAAGTCGAGTCAAGTCATTCAAAGTATCTCTCATGTCGCCTAGATCCTAATTAAGTCCTCAGTTAGCCCAACTAAACCGATTATTGTTAATGTTACATATTAATTGTTAAGTGTTAGATTTTAATTATTTTGTTGGGCACCAATGTCAACCCATAAATGTTCAAGGGATTGGCCCAGAACAAAAAGTCTTTTGAAATTAAGGTTGCATTTAGCCACTTTCGAAGACATCTAGTGGTTTCAGTTGCCAGCCAATCAATGCAAAATAATTGAATACAATTTCGGCCGAAGTTCTCAATCCTTACGCTCCTCCTGTCCTTTCAGTTTCAGTTTCAGTTATCAAAACAATTGTCAATTGCCAATTATCATAAATTTAAAGTGTAAAAACGTTACAACAACTTTTGGGTAGAAAAACTTATTTAAAACCTATTATTGAAATTATGCTTTCGCTTAACTTAAGCTCCGCCGACACACGATGGCAGAGGCCTATGTTAGATGATTTCACGTCTGATTTTCGTGATTTTCACTACACATAAACTCGCTTCGTATTTTGGTTTTGGTTTGAAGTATCAGTCAGTTCACAAGAATGTTGCAATGTGTGCGATGCATGATTACAATTACAAGGGTATTTGATTGTATAAACAGCTTATTGCTTTCCTCCAATTTGTGTGTGTTTTTCATTTGTTTTTCAAAAAGGATGTGATGATGCGAGCGGCAGGCATGAGCGAATGCGGCTGTGTTTATCGTTGCTGGCAGTGTAGAGCACTTGTTTCGATTCATCGATCCGTCCAACAACTTTTCACTTTCGTGGGGGCTATGCTATGCTTTGGTTTGCTATCCCCCCTCAGGATATAGCTCCTTTTTGGCCTGCTTCTGTTTCTCGATTCTCATCGATGAAATGGGTATTGATAAGTAATGCGATGGTCTGGGGATCGTGAAAACGCAGCTAAATAAACGATGCGCAAGTCTTTTGCTGAATACTCACTAAACTAACCGACTTAATGCACTTAATCTTAAATGGAATCCAATGTCTAGCTGCCTGGCTGATATGCGTGAGTGTGCGTGTGTGCCGTGTGTTTGTGTGTGTGTGTGTGTTGGGTGTTGGGTGTTTGGTGTGTCTGTGTATATATCAAAATGAACAAGTCGTCAAATAAATCAGCCTTATATTGAATGAAATTTTGTTTTAAAACTAATTTCGCTTTCCAATTATCCAAAAAATGAACACCAACACACACACAAAGACGCCCAGTCGCAGAGCTCCGATTCTATCCGGAATCACATAGATATATCCATGTCGAGACCCCAAAAATCGCTCAGACACATCGCCCCTAGCTACACACCTAAATGTACTGTATATGTATATAATGTATCAAGTATAATTACTTAGTTATCGTTTAGTGGATGCAACATACCGCGCTGAACCAGCAATCGCCGGAAACCGGATGCAAGTCCGGTCGCCAGCTGCCGTGAGATTTCTAATTTTAACCGAACTCGATCCTCCTTATCGGACTACTCCGAATCCATCTAAGCTTAGAGTTAAGTTAATGTTAATGTTAATGTTATGTTTACACATCAATAACGACGATAAATATCAGAAGAAATATCATAAGTTTGCCATCTACATGCATATTCTGCTTACACGTAAACGGGGGCAAATATGCCCGATAATATATATAGCTACTTTTTAAGATAAACACATCGATCTGTTGCTGCTGCTATCATGGCTGTGTTATGCAAGCACTTCTTTGTCTGTACATCTGTCGGCTTAAATCAGCGGAAAGGACAACTGAAAACAAACTAGCGACTGTTCTAGGTCTATGCTACCATGCCATCGGAATATCAGTAGATGCAGTAGAAAGTTGTACAATTTGTTCCGTTCCGATTGGTAACGCTACATCTGAGACCCTGGGAGAAACCGTGTCTGTTCGAGAAATGCACTGTTCGTATGATGGGGAAACAGGTGAAGTCTCCGTCAATCCGGAAACCGTTCTATCCAAAATCAAAGGTGTAACTGAACGGGAAACCAAGGCAGAAACTGAAAAGTCAAATCATAATAAAAACAAACAAATTTGGTTTTCGTTTTTGTTTAATTATAAATAACAATTGTATATTTTTTAATAAAATGGGTGTTCTTGTTGTTGTTGTTGTTGTGTTGTATTCTCTTCAAGAAAAAAACTAAAAAAGAAATATTATTTCTCGCTATTGAATGAATCTAGCATTCATGTTCGATGGATTAGAGCTTTTGACCTTTGCTGATATTACTGATATCCCTCAATTAATCTTTAATCATCGTTAAGCATAAGATGTCTGCTTCATCGTCTGTTGTCGCTTTTCGTTTTCCGTTTTCCGTGATCGGTTTTTAGTTTTTCAGGCCAGGTCAGATCTCTGGTCGGGGATTTTTGGGGATCCCCCGATCGAGCGATTAGCTTGCCTTGCATTTCTTGCTCTTTTCGTGATTATGGTAATCGTACACATAAAATAGTAAGAAATATTAGCGATAATTATATAATAATGGATAGTTTTCATTCATTCTTTGTTTTTTGTTTGTTTAAAAATATCACTTAAGTTTAAATAATTTCCAGAACGCAACGAAATAGATCGAGTGTACGTACTTAACTATGCATGTGTGTGGGTGGTTTTTGTGGTGTGTGTGTGTGTGCTTGTGTTTGTGTAGTGCACGAAAATTAGCAAGAAAAACAATAATAATGATGACAATAATCATACTCGTAATCATAATCGTAATAAAGAATAGACGCCCCGACGGGCGACAGACAAAAATAAGTAAAATGTATTGCATTTTCTCCGTTTTCAGTTGCATTTTACTCGGTTTTTTTTTCTTACAATCGTTCATGTTGTTGTGGGCTTGATTAAACTTATAGTAAATAAAAACGAAATACAAGTGTAAAAAATGTTGTTAAACTTTTTCGCATTACACAAAAATGGCCACCATTATGAATTTCATTCAAATCACGGCAAACAATTTCAATGAAATTTTCGTTTGCGTGTTTTACTCCTTACGGTTCTTTACGGTCTATTTCAATTCGTTTTTCCCGCTCTTCCGTAACTTTCCCATTTTCATTTTCAAAAACTCGTTAAAGCTGCTGCCGCTTAAGCTCAATTTTCCTTCCGCTCCCATCCACTTTCTCCGATCGCGATTCGGTTTCGACTTGGATTCGTTATCCCATTGCACTTCTCTCCCTCTCCCTCTTACTCTTCCTCTCCCCCTCCCCCTCCCTCTTTCTCGTCCTTTTTCGTTTCCCTCTTTAAGTGTGTGTATGGGGTTTCTATATTTACATATTCTAGACTTTAGTTTGTACTTCCAATTTGGTTAAGAATTCCTTGTGTATTTTCATTTCTTCATCCGTAAGTTCTCCTGCTCTTCAATCTCAATCTCTGGCTATCATTCGATATCGCCCTACATCTCCTTATATCCTCGCAAACATTGCTGGGTCCTTTGTGACGTCATTGTTTGTATGTATATACCGTAATTTGAACAATTCACAACAGTTGCACAACGCAAAAAGTTTTTGTTTTTCATGTTTTATAAATCTTAGTTTTTAGTCATAAGTTCATTACAAATTAATCAATATACGAATTTAGATCGTTTTTCGTTTTTGTGTGTTTTAGAAAATATCAACTTAACAATGTAACATGTTTGAAAGTGTTTTCCTTCTGGCTCCAATAGAAAATTTGAATTTTGACGGTTCCCTTTTCTCGATTCGGATATGATCTACCTCAATTTATCTGTCTGTTTGTCTGTCGGCCTGTCTGTCTGTCTGTCTGTATGTAAGTTTGTTTGTTTGTTTGTTTGCTTGCTTGGTTTGTTTGTTTGTTTTAAAATTCACTACGTTTAAGTTTAAGTTGCTCATACGTCTATATGTTACATTAGCGTGGTCTTGGGTTCAGGTTCGGGTTCGGGTTAGGGGTAATTGTTCTATAGATGTTTGAGAGTTTTTTTTGGGTCTGGTTCTGGGTCTTGGTGGTAGGTGGTAGGTGTGGGTGGTGGTGTTGGTGGTGGTGGTGGCTGGGTGCTTATTTAACTAGATTATTTAGCTGTGTGTCCATCTATTGCCGCTCGTATGCATGAAGTCGATTAATACTTAACTCTTAGCGCTTAACACACACTTACAAATTGTTTAAACGGTTCTTGGATTTGAGTTACACATGATTATGCAAGTAATTTAACTATTTTTTGTTTACGCCTATTTAATGTGTAGATGCAACGCTTTGAATATTTAATATGCATATCTTTAGGTTTTCGTTTTGAATATTCTGCTTTATAGTTTCATTTTGATTTGTTTTGTTTGAGTTGGTTTGCTTCGTTTCCCTTCATTTCATTTCATTACATTACATTTCGTTTTGTTTTTCTTTGTTTAGAGCGAGAAGTAGAACAGAAATTGCACTTAATACTAGAAAAAAATTTACTAGAGTTCTTATTAACTAAAAAAAATCAAATGTATATTTGCTTTAAATATTGTTTGTTTTGTTTTGTTTGTTTTCATTTGTTTGTTTGTTGTTGTTGTTGTTGTTTATGTTTGAATTGTTTTTTGCTGTTTTTTCTTTTGCATTTTTTTGTTATGTTTTATGTAAAACAGCTGGCATCTATATTTTATCGGTTTATTTGTTTGTTTGTTTCTTTTTTTGTTTTGTATATATATAAAAATGTGCCAACTGCTGTTTTGCTTTTTAACATAAGAATTAACAAAGTCATTTTAGAAATAAATATGTATATGTATATTTACGCACTGTAATAATAGTAATAATAATAATATAATAATAATAATAATAATTAGATTATTGTAGATTGCAAATGTTGCCCGGGCGCAAATGTCAGCAACATTTGCACGGCAGTTGGCAAACACCTGCACAACAACAAAAGAGATACCGTTACGTGTTTAAGGTGCACAATTCTATGCAGAGTAAATAAGAAGAGACCATTTTCAATTTGCATTTTTGCGTTTGCGATTGCGTTTTTGTCGTCGTGACAACAGCTGGCATTGGGGCAACCATTCCACTGCGGGTCAGCGGTCAGCGGTCAGCAGTCGAAGGTTAGAGGTCAGGGGGCGGTGGTTCCGTTGGTTCGGCGGGCTTAACCCTGCATGAGGACGGCCTGCGCCTGCTGCTGACTGGCGGCTGCTCGGCTCCAGGCCAGCAAACCATTGGCCGCAGCCACCTGCGCCTCCTCCTGATCCTCGAGAGCCTCCAGCTGCTGCTGCCGCTGCTGCTCCTCCTCCAGATCCTCTAGATCCTCCTCCATTTCCTCCCCAGCTTCCTCCTCCGTTTGGGTGGGCGTGGTCGTCGACGTGGCCGTGCAGGTAATGGGCGCCACAATCACCGAGGTGGCCACACTGCGTATACGCACCGGCCTGTTGCTGATCGTGTTGCTGTTGGCGCTCACTGCATACGGATGTGGTTGCTGCTGCTGCTGCTGCTGCTGTTGCTGTTGCTGCTGCTGCTGCGCTTGTCCGCCGTACCGCTTGTTGGTTTTGATGGTCAGCGAGGAGGGCAACTGCTTGCCGGCAGCCACCTCGGCCGCCAATCTCACCACTGTGGTGGTCATCTTGGTGGCCGATGTTACTGCTGGGCTGGGAGTTGTTGCTGCTGGATTGGGTGGTGTTGATGCTACTGTTGCTGCTGCTGCCGCCTTGGACTGGTGCGCCGACGCCTGGTTTGCCGCCTCCGTCGACGACTTCTGTCGCTTTCAGTCGCCGAAGCGGCTGCACGCCTTCTTCCACCGGCACTGGGTGCACCATTGGTCGCGCTTCTCCATGCCGTACACCTTGCGGCACTTCTTGTTCTCGCCGCGCGTCCTCTTTCCCGGCGAATGGGGCGTATGCTTGACGGCCGCCTGTGGCGCCATGTGTTGCTGCTGCAGCGGATTGCTTCCGTTGCTGTTGCCGTTGTTGTTGTTGTTGTTGCTGTTGTTGTTGTGGGCAACCAGGTTGCCGGCAGTTGTCTGTGGATGTTGCTGATGCTGCTGTTGGCTGCGCATCGGTTGGTGGTGTTGTTGCTGCTGATGTTGCTGCTGCTGCTGCTGCGCCGGATGATAGTTGGGCGTGATCGTCACACTGGACAGTAGGTGCTGCTGTTGCTGCTGCTGCTGGTGGTGCTGTTGCTGGTGGTGATGGTGATGGTGTTGGTGGTGCTGCTGCTGCTGCTGCAATTGCTGTTGCTGCTGTTGGCTGTGGTGCGCCGTGACCGTGACATTCTGGTTCGACAGCTGCTGCAGCATGTTGTTGGCACTGCTGTTGCTGTGGATCACCGGACTGCTGCTGCTGCTGCTGTTGCTGCTGTTGCCACTGCTGCCGGCATAGTTGTGCGTGTGGTGATTGCTGCTGTTGCTGTGGTGGTGGTGCTGCTGCTGCTGGACGTACGTCGGCGATGGATATGGCGCTACCGAGTGGGACGGACGGGTGGACGAGGAGCGAGCGTGCTTGCCCAGCGGCGGGCCGGATGCGCTGGCCGCAGCCAGCCCCGTCCCCGCGAAGGAGATGCTGTAGGAGGTGTAGTTGTGGTGGTCCAGGTGCGAAGTGGGGATGCAGCTGGTGTTGTTGTTCTGCAGCTGCTGCTGGTGGGTGCTCGGGATGTGGCCGCCACTGATGGTGCGGCCGTGCGGCTGCGCCAGGTGGTTGTAGTGGCTCCCGGCGCGTCCTTGCCTGTGAAGCGAAAAGAGTAGGAGTTACTATGGCAATCTACATCGTGGACTGCAGGGATACCCACTTGAAGTTGCCCACAATCTGCTTCTGGTACTCGGGATCCTCGTGCGGCGGACGCGCCATGTCCCGGTGACTCAGCGTCGGCTCGGAGGCCAAACTGGGCTTCACCTGCTCGTCGTCGTCGTCGACATCCGTGTAGTAGAACTCCTCCTCGTTCTCGCAGTCATCGTCCGCGGAGCGACGGGTCTTCTTCCTGCAAAGCGTCGAGAGTTGATTAAAACGATGTCCCCAAGCAGTGATGCCAAGTTCATTGGACTTTTGTACCTAGGTGGACCGAAAACAATGCCAAGCTAAGGACCCCACTCCAAATATATCTCGTTCTCAATTGAATTTTCACTACATCACTAATTATGTATATTGTCTATTTAATTTATTGCAAATTCTGGGTATATGTTTATTTAACTAAAAAAAAAATTATTTAAATTATGTCCTACTGATGGTAAGCTATTCTTCTAACAAGTTAGCCCTAATTGTTAAAAGAGTAATTTTAAAAACAACTCATTTACTTTAAAATGTGGTACGAATATATATTTTATATTATTAATATACAAATCTAAAATGTATCTAAAAATTTTTAAATTCATTAAAAATAATGATTTTTAAATGAAATGTTTAAAAGCACAAAGTTTAGTTTCATTTATTTTGCTATAAACTAATTATTATTCTATTAACTCAATTTGGTACCTATCATCTCTTTCAAGCGACCGTTTTTATTTTTGTTCCCGACTCGCGTTGCCAACCAAACGGCATTGCCATTCACCGCAATACGTGGTTACTTAAGCAAAGTTCTAAACCAATTCTTAAATCCATGCTAATTTCAATTGAAGGGGAAATATTTTTTAATTAATTAATTAGTATCGATGAGTTGACTGTTTTTAAAAGAACACTGTACATTGCACACCCACTTTCCAAAAAAAAAAATGCCAAAAATAACCAAGAGCAGAAATCACCTAAATAGGTAAAATATACTAAATCCCAAAATGCATTTTTCAGTATATCAGTTGGGAAAGCCAAGTTCTCAACCATCCACATTCTTAACCAATCGATGTTGTCATCGATATTTCTTGTTCCAGCTCTAAAACTTTTTGCAAAAAAATACGCACGTTCCTCCGTGTGAAATCAATACGAAATCAACAAGAGCAATCGATTTTGAGCGGCCGTCCCATTCTAAGGAGCAGCGCGCATAAATAGCCAGCGCGCCAATTTCCCAGCTGCCAGTCACGAGCCATTTTTTGTGGTGGAAAATTTCGCAGATCGAAAAATTTGCGCGTCTGTCTGTCTGCATCTCGCGTGCTTGCCTCTGTGTGTGCGTCTGTGTGTGCGTGTGTGTGTGTGAGTGTGTGAAGTGCGGCCTACAAAGTCAATTAACAAGGGAAGAAAAGACGCCCGTGCTGTTTCGCGCCCAAGGAAAAGCCAAAACATCAGCTAACAACCAGCCAACAAAATGTCCAGCCTGCGACCCGAGGAGCCCCACTCGCAGCCCCGAAAATTGGCCACCGCCGCCGCCGTTTGCCCGCTGAGCAATTGCCAATTTAGCGGCGTGGTGATCAGCGCAATTGCCGACGAGCAGAAGCTGGAGTTTGCCAACAAATACAAGGGCAGTTGCACGCTGCTCTGCAGCTACGATTCCCAGGGCGTGGTGCTCCGCGTGGTGGAAGGTGAGTCTCTGTCAGGGATCTACTAATGCTACCCATTCTAATCCCGCCAATTTCTCGTTGCCCAGATGAGGACCACAGCCACGTGCTCAAGGAGTACATGATAGCCGCCGACACGGATGCCGCCCAGATGGGCAGACGCAGCTATGCCGTCTCCCTGGACGCGGACAACCTGGTGCTGCGATTTGCCAGCGACCAGGACCAGCAGCTCTTCCGCAAGGTGGTGGAGAACGTCAAGCACCTGAGGCCCAAGTCAGTGTTCTCGCAGCGCACCGAGGAGTCGTCCGCCTCGCAGTACTTCCAGTTCTATGGCTACCTCAGCCAGCAGCAGAACATGATGCAGGATTATGTGCGGACGAGCACCTACCAGCGCGCCATACTGGGCAACGCGCTGGATTTCCAGGACAAGATCGTCCTTGATGTGGGCGCCGGCTCTGGCATACTGTCCTTCTTCGCCGTGCAGGCTGGGGCGGCCAAGGTGTACGCCATTGAGGCCTCCAACATGGCCCAGTACGCCCAGCAGCTGGTCGAATCGAACAATGTGCAGCACAAGATCTCTGTGATACCGGGCAAGATCGAGGAGATCGAGCTGCCCGAGAAGGTGGACGTGATCATATCGGAGCCCATGGGCTATATGCTGTACAACGAGCGCATGCTGGAGACATATCTGCATGCCAGGAAGTGGCTGAAGCCGCACGGCAAGATGTATCCCACGCACGGCGACCTGCACATCGCCCCGTTCTCCGACGAGTCGCTCTACTCGGAACAGTACAATAAGGCCAACTTCTGGTACCAGTCGGCCTTCCACGGCGTCGACCTGACCACGCTGCACAAGGAGGGCATGAAGGAGTACTTCCGCCAGCCCATCGTCGACACCTTCGACATCCGCATCTGCATGGCCAAGTCGGTGCGGCATGTGTGCGACTTTCTCAACGACAAGGAGGACGACCTGCATTTGATTGGTGAGTGTAGCTAGTTCTAGGTGATGATCTGAGAGACAGCGGCTAACTTGTGATCTCCCACAGATATCCCCCTGGAGTTCCACATCCTGCAGACCGGCATCTGCCACGGGCTGGCCTTCTGGTTCGACGTAGAGTTCAGCGGGAGCAGCCAGAACGTGTGGCTGTCCACGTCGCCCACGGCACCGCTGACGCACTGGTACCAGGTGCGCTGCCTGCTGCCCATGCCCATCTTCATCAAGCAGGGTCAGACGCTGACCGGCCGCGTACTGTTGGAGGCCAACCGGCGGCAGTCGTACGACGTGACCATCGACCTGCACATCGAGGGCACGCTGATCTCGTCGAGCAACACCCTGGACCTGAAGAATCCGTATTTTCGGTACACGGGGGCGCCGGTTCAGGCGCCGCCGGGGACTAGTACTCAGAGCCCATCTGAACAGTACTGGACGCAAGTGGACACACAAGGATCGCGCAATTGTGAGTTCATCTAACTGATTTCCCCAGAAGTCTTTACTTATGCAATCTTTTCCGCCAGCCTCAAGCATGCTAAATGGGGGGCTCAGCGTGAACGGATTGGGCGATGGCATGGACATCACCCATGGACTTATGCATCCGCACTAGGGCGGCACAGGATCGAATAACAATACATCTTCTGGGAATTCTCTTTGCTCCGAGTCCGCTCAACTAATCGATTGGTTCTATTTGTGTCAGCTTTTGTTTTGTTACAGCTTTATGTTTAGGTTATTTATTGAACAGTGTAAATTATTTTGTCTATTATCGCAAAAGTAGTTGCGTTTACGTTCTGTACACCTTTCGCACCGGCAGTCCTATCCCACTTTACGACCTCCAAACTCTTTTATCTATTTTAATTGATCGGACGAATCGGAGGAACCCAGCCACTCAGCCACCCAGCAAGCAAGCATGAAAGCAAGCAACAAACAAACAATCAACAAATCAAGGCAGACTAATGTAGTTGTTTAGAACACGCAGCATATTAATAAGCCTAAGCTAATTTTAGCCCATAGTAATTAGTGTTTTTAACCGTATGTATGTAAAATGTAATACCGATATGTAACCCACGCGGGACTGCGCTTCAGGAAGTTTCTTAGTTAATATGCCAATTGCCGATTGCCAATTGCAGTTTTTGCCGAAAGCTTTGAACAAACCAACAAATTCAGATTGTACTGTATCTATTATGTGTGTTATTATTATATTATATTGTGTGTACCTCCAGCTAGTTTCAATTTTTGTACTTGTCGGCCGTGTTTACGTTTAGTTCGTTTTGAAATTGTAAGAAATTGCTCATAGGATTTAGTGCTAAGTTACGATACCATTACTTTACTAAAGGCCGACTCGCGCCCTGAGATTATACATATATCCGCCTACGATAACGTCTAATTCAGTACTGTTTTGGAGGCACGCCTCTCCTTTGGCAATAAGTTTCGCACCCAGATTCGAGCCCAGATCCTGTCATAGATCCTACTACATCGCTGCCAACAAGCCGACCGCTAAATAAGCATATACACTTATATATACATGTAGCCCACGCCAACCTATACCCAAACACACTCCAATCCCCGACAACTGACATTCTTGCGTACTGTACTTTGTAGAGCAGCAACAGCGCCACTCCACTCCACCAGCACACAGAACACAGAACACTGCAACCCATAAATATAAAGCAAAACATATACAATTATATATATATATATATATAAATATACGAATAGATATACCGCATATATGCAGAAGAGAGAACAACAATGTCAAAGCGAAAGCAGCAAAAAACAAAGCCCAAAGCGTCTTTTATTTCTAGCTCTTAGCCTTAGCCCCTTGATTTACATAGGAAACGAGATTGGCAAGTGTCGCTACTCAGCGCGGATCGTGTGTGGGCGATTGGACCTTGGCCTCAAAAGCGCACCGCTGCACCGCCATCTCTGCACCCACATCCACACCCACACCCACTCCTACACCCACTCGTTGGGCCGCAGGTGCGCAAAGTAATCTGCGTGCTGGGAAAGAGGCTATACTACTCACTTGTGTGTGACCTGCTTACTGTGCTCGAGTGTTCTACTTTCGAGCTGCCCCCCCATTTCCCCCTTCTTTGCTGGGCGGAAAAACTCGCGGAGAAGGTCGGCGGTGGCTAAGTCAAGGCCCCATCCACTTGCCACTTGCCGCCCCCCAATAGGAAGCAAGACAATTTCTTGTTCACTTACCCCAAATGTGTTTTCCTAACGTGACGAATGATTTTATTCTGATCGGACTCCACAACATTACATTTCGGATAAACGCAGCGGTACTTTTTCAACTGCAAAGAGAAGAGAAAACAAAGGGTTTTATTATGTGCTATAAACAGGGTAGAATACAAGCATATATTTTTTAAATTTCATAAGTTGATGGAATCTCTTTCGTACTTGGCGGGCAAAGGGCTGCATCAGGGAATCCTCGGAGGACGTGGAAGTGGACGTGGACGTGGACGTGGACGAGGACCGCGAGGAGCAGTGCCCCGTGGGACTGTGGCTGCCATAGCACTCGTAGTCACTGCGCTCCACATAATAATTTAGTGCCATGGTGTTCATGGTGGAGTGCAGTTGCAGTGGCGGTATTAGCGGCTGCAGGAGCGATTCGAACCGGTGCCGGCCCGGTGCCAAGTGCGACTGTGTGGGTGCGGACAATGCAACTGGCTGGCTGTTTGGCTGCCTGAAAATCAGAATCAGAGTCCTTGGACTCTGCCGCCCGAGCGGCAAACGATGCAAACGATGCCGCCCGAACGAGCTGCTGGCCATGCCGCCTGCCGCCAGCCGACTGCACTACTGATAACACAAGTCCCGGGTCCGGTCCGCGTCCTTGCGAAAAACCCGCCACCCGGCCACCCAAGCCACCCAACCACCCCCTTTATTTACTGGGTCACCTTGCGGTCGCAATGCTCCGCTTGTCGCTCGCCTTGACACGCTTTTGGCGCCCAGCTCTTTTGCCCGCTTTGCTTTTTGTGCGCCTGCATTTTATGTTGCGTTTTTATGCTGAAGGTTAGTACTGCGCTGCAGCAGCGACGCCGGCCCACTTGACCCACTTTAAAAACATGCTGGCTGACTTGCATAAACTATGTATATGTGCCCATGTACCGCGTATATATATACAGTTTTGGGGGCACTGCAAGCAACTGATTGCGTCCTTGCGCTGGCAATTGTTGTCCTTGTGCGACTGCTGAACAAATTGAAAACTGAGTTTTCGGTTACCCATTTTGGCCTTGTGCGTCAAGTGATTAACGATTTGTTTACAACTTTGTGGTTTGAGATTGCCCGTGCGCTTTATTTGTTGTGCATGTTGGCATTGTAGTGCGGCACTTTTATTCCGCCATTTTGGCCCACTTAAGTTGAATTCACGGCGGGCGCACACGGCGTATGTGTAATGTGAGATGCGGGAAAAAGCTGAACGCCTCTTTGGGGAGGAGTCTGCGAACCGCAACGCAATCATAAACATAAATATCCTGCGCTACTTAAGCGGCGTAAATTGTTAAAGCACGTGGTTGGCACGCATCTACGCAAATGGATGCACAGAGAGAAACATAACAGTCGTTCTAAAATCATTTAGATGAACATTTTGTAAGTTTATATATGAGCTAATAATATATAAAGAACTAATCTCTAAACCAGTGATGTATGTTCGTTTCCATTTTCTCCACCCTCATCAACTTTGAACCCATTTATTTCCGGTGTAGGCCTAACGGCCTGAAAGGGAATAGCGAAAAGTTCTACACACTTTTCGTTTTAACTTGCTGCAATTAGTAAGCGGCCGTAATTCGTTTGCGGCCAGACTTCTGGGGGCAGGATACGCCGCATATCCTGGATCATAAATAAGGGCCTGCGAATACACACGCCATTGTTGCCATTGCCAGATGTGTGTGTGTGTGTTTGTGTGTGTGTTTGCCAGTTTGCAGTTTTTCGGAGTTGGTCGCCTGCGTGACTGGCATCTTAATATGCTGAAAGCTCAAAGGGGTTTATTAATGCCTCGATTTTGTTCGCCGGCAGATAAGCACGGCAGCTCGTTTGTCAAACGCTGCGTATGCGCAATTTTCAATTCCCAGCTGACGACACCGCCATTTGTGCCTTGCAATTATATTCAATTACGGCGCAAAGGAGTTCGAGAAATCATTTTGTGCTATCAATGTTGCCCAACACCACAGCCCCCTGCCCCCCTGGCATTTATTGCCACCTGCCAAGTCACTCGAATCTAAAAGTAAATTAAAGCAGCTTGAGTTATGTCCCCTTGCGTTCGGCGTGTAGTGGTGCGTGTTAATTATCCGGCTCTAATGAGGAGCGCTCGACGGCGGACGGGGGTAAACGCTTGTTTGCTAATGAAAGAAAACCATTCGCCGACAGCGAACTCCAGCTGGCAAACTTTCCGGCCCGGCAGATGAGGAAATAAAATTCCACCCCGGTCCAGAAGTGCGTATTACGGCGGCAATGACTACCGCACTGCGTCCTGATTTGGCAGGAAAACAGCGGGCACAATGCCGGGTCCGGGAAAACGGGAAAACGTACACAAATAGCCAACGTGAGTGGGCGGCACAACATGAATCTTCTTTAACTCCTTTTGAGCAAGATTGGCTAAGAAAGTGGGGACATTTTCCCGTCTGGCGCCAATTCCAGCTGTCCTTATATATATTATATGTAAACACCCGTATAAGTGCGCATATATTTGTATTTACTCGGGGGCGTACTTCATGCTAATCTTTAGGCGTATTTACTCAAGACTTTAACCGGAACGCGACTCAGCTCGCTAAGCAGATATTTCCTGGTTCGAAATGGAACTTGATCGGCTCAGCTTGCCAGCACATCCTTATTAATTTACGCGACTCAATTATTCCCCGCCCGCCATCGATTTGGCAGACGCTATCAGTGGAAGTCCTGCGTTGCCATGCAATATCCTATTGCCAACGCGTTCAATGAAAATTTACTTGACAGCCCAGGAGGACACACATCTTGGGAAAAGCCCAGGCTGCGTGCGTGGGGTAAATAAAAATCTTCCTGTTTGTACGCCCTCTCTCTCTCTCTCTGCTCCACTGTTCATCTTGGAGTTTTTTCCCATTTCCCAGTTCCCCATTTCCCATTCCCGTTGGCGGCAAGCATAAACAACCCCAAACCCCAGAGTGTCGGGCCGAAAATACACAAGGCGGAAATGCGAACCGAAATCGAAACCGAAACCGAAATCAGAACAGCTGTGGAAGGACAGCCGCGAAATTGGGTCAACAGTATATAGTGGTGTGTATATGCAACAACCCCCCCTTCCGAGTTTTCCCTCAGAAGGGGGGGTGGCCATGCCCCTGTACCTTCCGCACTCTCTCTCTCTCACGCTCTCTTTCCTGAGTTTGTCCCTGAGAGTTGCCGCTGTTAACTGCCCCAAAAACTAGGCCAAAAAGAGCGGCCAATTTCTAACAGTCAAAGAGAGTTGAAGAGAGAGCAAAAGAGCGAACTGGAAGAGAGGGCGCATGGTTGGGGAAGCACTGTTACCGAAATTGGGTCAATGGAAGGCCAACAACATAACTCCTGCCGCGAAAAATGGAGCAGAAGCATAAATTATTGACTCCACACTGTCGACAGAAAATAGCACAATTTGCCTGTATCGATGTGGGGGAACAGAAAAAATAAAATGGCCCAGAGAAATGTGTGCCAGGCATTAGAGGCATCTGGCGTCTTTTCGCCTCTTGGCTAATAACAGACATGAAAGGTTTGCTTGGGCTGCCTAATAGGGCTTAATTCGCGGCAAACTCAAATTGCACTCACGGCGCCGTTTACATTTCAACGCCCATCCGCCATTAAAGTCCGCCCTCCAAAGTAGGCAACGAAAATTATGTTTCTGCCTGAAGGCACAGGACTTTCCCCCCGTTTTTTTTTGTTTTGCACACCATTAAAGCAGCCTAAGTTCGTCATGGCAATTTCGGGCTTCATTTTATATATACCACTTGCCGCAAATCGAATTCGTTGCGTTTTGCATGTGAGCGGTTGATTTTAAAGTCTTATCGCTTTGTCTACAGGCTGCCAGAAAATTGGGTCACATCGGTTAGGGGTGAAGCTTTCAACAAACTTCTCGTTGACTTTATCAACCTCATCAGCACAGCACCGTAAATTTACTCGGGAAATGCTATTTTCGTAACGAGTTGCAGAGCAAATTGGGTTTTTCAGGGGTTGTGAATAGTTGAATGTTGTGTTTTGTAATACTTATTACGTATTTCACATTCGATTTTAACCTTTGGCAGAGAATTTACAAACTTGATTACATACTGCTGATGGCCTTGCCAATTTGCTGGGCCCTTAATTTGATTGCGTTTAAATAAAAACACGCACACACGCACCAGCATTCGCATTCGCATTCGCATTTGAATTCGCGTTCGCGCTCCCAGACAGTGACAGAGTGGAGTGTCATAAATATATGAAAACTCAAACACACATGCATAACTGATGTGACAAACACACGCGAAATTGTCATTGCCGCTGGGAAATTGGCGGTGTGGGGGCGGGGGAAAAGCCGAGGAAAAGCAGGAAAAAAAGGCTGACAACGACAACGATGGAAGATGAAATTGAGGTTGAGTGTTCACTCATTCAGCAAATATGACAATGGCGTTGATTTTGATATTTTGAGCGGGCAGACAGAAGCACAATAACCGACTCGTTCTTGACATGGCCCAAACGGCTAGATATCGCGCCTTAAGGGTTGTGCACATCCCATAAATGCACAGAAAAAAATTATAATCGTGTTGGTGGAGGCTATATTATAAATTCAACATGTAGAGTATGTTTACAAGCTTTATGAATGTTTTATCTCTATGCCTATTAAATAAATATGGTTATTACATTTTTTTAATACCCAGCCCAATTTGTTCTTACAAATTATTAAACATTTTCTCCCTGTGCAGATGCTAACACGTTTCGTATATAAAATTTATGCGAAAAGTTCGTGAACACTGAAGGCGACTTTGTGTTCATTTGAGAGGAAACATGTTGCCAAAACTGAAACCAACTTGAATGTGTAACCCACGTTTGTTTCAATTTTTATGTTCGCCAAATTAGATCAAACGAAATGGCCTGCAATAGAGCGAAATGCTGAAAACAATCTCTAAACGGGAAACAACTATGGGAAATTGCAGGACAGCCTGAGAGTATGCAACGTTGGGTCCTCGCAGCCATAAATTAGTGCTCAATTCACTATGGCCTTTTTCAAATGATTTAGTTACTGGACAACCACGATGTGGAAATGAGTTTAGTGGTGCGTTTTTAGAGCACTAATTTTCACTACTTTTATGTATGTATATGTGTGTGCCAGCGACGACAATATCCGGCCACGCTCAATTTACCACAACATAGCGCAGGACACCCTTCGGGCATTAAAGTCCTTATCAGTGGAAACGCTCGAGTTACAAGGCTGACGTCCTCGGGCCAAGTAAATGGCCACCGCAGGCGATTCTGTTCAACCCCAACTTAAGGCCCCGCTCCTTTCGTCACCCGTTATCACTGTACTGCTCATTGTCACATCTCTCAGTCGGAAGGGCAGGCAGAACACAATGGCCCACAGAATCCAATTATGACATAAAAATGTTCGTAAATTGTAAAATGTAAATTTTCACCCCGCTCCAGACCAAAAGAGGATTTTCACTTGTCCCATAGATAAGCAGAAGCGGCCAGGACAACGAAATTATTATTTGACACACGTAAATTGTACAAGGACTGTTTCTGCTGCTGCTGCTAATAAAATGTGTGGCTGGCTGCATTTGCCGTTGACTTTTATTGCTGCGGTAATTGCCAAATGGAGCTTGAATGGGTTGCCATCGGCCGACAAGGATTGTGGTCCTCCTGCCTCCTTGGTGGAACGGTCCTAATCAACACGGACTTTAACAAGATGTGTGGTTGGCATGTGGATAGTGGGGCCCGAAAGACTGGACGTTAGTCCTAAAAAGTAATTGGCTTATGGGGGAGATGTCAAACTTTGTGACAGGCGGAAGGCACACCACACAGTTCGACTGTACCTTCATCAAGTATACCTAAAAACGTGTTAAAACGTGCAGAGAAAGAAAGACATCCCCTTTAGTGTCATATAACTTCATTTTTTCTAAATTGAAAATTGAGCCGAAGCATCACATATTTCCGAAAATTATAGAAAAAAATATGTATTTTATATATACATATTAAAACAAAATTAATCAAACTACTAAAAAAAACTTGTTTTTGAGAGTTTAAAAACACATTTTTCCTCCGTGTAAGCTAACAATATTTATGGGGTGGGCAGGGTCAGCTCATCTATTTTCATTTGAGCCCGGCTGGATTGCCATTTGGCCGAGTGGAAGCTGCGTTTGTCTCCGGCCTAAACTGTACTGCGATGGCTGACCCAGAAACTGTGGGCCGGAATGCAGGCACAGTAAGCCAAGGGGTCTCAGTAACTGGGTCACAGGGCATCAGATATATACCTACCAGTATATAAACATAGAATGGGATGGGAGGAGCGAGAATTCACTTGCGCCTGGGTGACCTTGTGAAACTGCAATTGCCAGGGTGCCGAAACAAAAAAAAAAAAAAAAAAAAACAACAATGGCATCAAGGCCTGCGAGCATATGCATGGCAGTAACTGTACTTGGCGAAATTTATGTATGCTGCAAGGCAGGAGGAAAATGGATGGAAAACGAGGAGGATTGTCCCTGCCATTTGCCATTTGAGTCGGGGATGCAGAACTAAACCAGGTCAAGCGTATTCGACTTTATGTACCCCACTCCAGATGCATATATAGAGCACGGAGCACGGAGCACGGAGCACGGCTATGCTAGCGGCTATCAGTTCAGTGTGTGTACTTTTGTGCCCCGGGCGATGTCAGACTGTATCTGGAATTTATGCTGCACTGCCACGATGCCTCGGCCACAGAGATGTAAATTGGAAAATGTCTCAATTTAAGCCAAGCGAGGAGCTTTCCCCAATACGGTGTGCTCATATTTCAGGCCCTTCGACCATTTAAAGACCATTTGAGTGTCCCGAGGCACATTTCAATTTTGGCCCCAAAGCCAATCGCCTCGTAAACTGGCCCTGACAAAAACTTGATGCCTTTCGGGCTGGAGGGACACGTGCCGCCGGAAAAATGTCCATCTAATAATTTGCCAGCAGAAGGAGGAAACTGACAAAGAAAAAAAACGACTGCGCAAAACGACAGAAGAACACTTGAAATGACCAAAAAAAAAAAATACGGTTATAATCAACTTGCCGGGACGAAAAGCAGTTTTTGCCAAGCTTTTCGGGTTGCGATGGCTGTTTGAGTCCATCATTTCCCCAAGGGCAGCACAAATCGGTTGGAGGAGGGGCAATAAAAGGGGATGGGGATTCACATTACTTTTCCAGGTATTATGAGCCACTCAAAAGTTGTCGTTGTCGTTTAAGCGGAAAAAAAGAGCGCTCTGAATGTGCTGGCAGAAGGTAAGCGAAGGCAGGGTCTGAGCCTTGCCTTGTGTGTTTAAAACGGCGTTTCAATATGGCCCAGACGGACGGGGAAAGTTAGTAAGCAGCTTATGGCCAGCAAATTAGACATGGCGGCAATCGGCTTTGGAGTGTCGCCGAAATCGCGCTGGCGGAGAGTGCAACATGTTGGAGTCCTAATCCCCGCAGAGGTAAGTCAACTTATGCATGCGGCCCAAAAATGGGTTAATACGGACTTAGGCAAATGCTGAAGCTGAATCTTAAGCGGAAACTTGCCAACAAAGTGCTAGCAAAAGTCCTTCGAGTTGAATTGTGGATTTGGCACACTTTCGTCCACAAACTCGGGGGTTAGGCAATCAAATCGAAGGATAAACTTTGGACCCGGGTGATTATTTATATATATCCCGACTCTGTGCCTGCCGGCAACTGCTGTTCCAAAGTTTTTTGGGCAAGACTCGCAAATCCAATTGCCAATTGCAGGTTGCATAAACAGCGACAACAGCCGCAACAAAGTAGAAACCAAAAACTCAACTTCAGACCCAGACGTTGCCGAAAGAGACAGATAGAGAAGTGGAGACAAAGACAGAGATAGAGCCAGAGACAGAGTCAGAGTAAGAGTCAGAGGCAGAGTCAATTTCACTTCCATTGCACTTGCAAATTGAACACGCACGCAGGCTAGGAGAAAAAAAACAAACGAGAAAAACAACGAATGGAGCAGGAAAAATAAAAAATGTAAGCAAATTTGAAAGCAATTTCTATTTCCCCAAAACCAAAAACAAAAAAATGTGTGCGAAAATACAACGAAACATAGAAAAACGCTGCATTAAACATAATTTTGTTTCCATTCTATTTGTCTTTGCATATTTTATGCGGCATGGGGGAACTCTTTTCAATTTGAAGCATGCAAAGGATTTGAGTGCGGGATTTAAATATTCAATTTTCTGCACACACTCCACGAGTGCAGATGTTCCCACTTTAAAATACAATTTGCCAGGGAACTCCGGCGGATAAGCGACTGAACTCTTCACTTCTAACTTGCCACATTTCAAGTTTCGACTGGCTTGCTTGAAAAGTTGACAAAGTCAGGCCCGAGCAAGTGTCAACGCGTCTAATTGCGAATGATAACGGCAGCAGCTTTAATCTGAAGTTTTCCTCTTAACTTTTCCTTTTGTTTTCCCCCAGAATCCGGGCTGGCTTTCTAATTCCTTGCCTGACCCAATTCGGAAGACTTTTCATTATGCAGCAAGGACTCCGGCGAAAGTGTCGCCTCTTTTCCATTCCCTGCCCGCAGGGGTTTTCCTATTCTTTCCACTCCACTCCGTCTGCGCTTCCTGCTTAGATAAAATGCCAAATGCCGGAAGATTTTTAATTAGAATTCTCTTTATTTTACCTCTTGACTCGCAGCCCCTTATCCCTTATCCTCGCTATTGACTCGAACAATAACCCCAAAACTAAAAGCTAAAGTGAGGGGGCGAATAAAAAAGAAAAGGAAAATATTGCTTAAGCAATTTGGCAGCTTAAATCATTTTAATAATTCTGCATAGCTTAGCGGGGCTTTGGTCGTGACCCGAGCTTAGTGTTTTCCCTCTTTCTGGCCCTGATTAATTTTGGTTTATCATCCCCAGCCCCACGTCTGGTCTTTGGTAATATAATACACGTTTCTTAATTAATTCAATTAGCTTGCGGTTGGGTATATTGCCATCTCCTGCTCCGCCACTGGTTTATTTATGTTGTTGCGCGGCTTTCCAATGTTGAGCAATTGAAATACGATATGCCAGCGAGCGGTTCGTGACTCGACGGAGTCAACTGGAGTTGTCATAATTTGGCCCAAGCAGGGGTGGCTAAATGCGTCTCGGATTCCCCAAAAGTTTCCCCAATCCCCCCTCCCCCCAAACAGTATCCACTCATGAGGGTTGATAAGCCCAAGAGAGCGACCCCAATTCGATACGATATCGGTCAAATGCAATTTATAGACCGCGTCAGCGAACAGCCAGCGAAATTTAATTGAAATTCAACGCTGATAGATAGAATATCCGTCGAGTGGACGTGGCGAAACATTTGCATTGACAAGTCGACAACTGCTGGACATGGAAGCCGGCGGAATGCAAATGGCCAGGCCAAATAAATGGCCAAGCCAGCTGACCCATTCGAAGCAATTGACAGGGAAAGTGAATAAGAAAAAAAGGAATGACGAGAGGGGCGGCGATCTATTCGGGCTTTGGCCGGCGCACATGGCAATTTTCATAAATTTTCGTTGTCCGAAAGGCAGCGCCGAAATTTCCGCATTTTTCCAACAATCCAGCAGTCCAGTGCGCCTGATGTAATGGCCAGGGCAAACAGTTCGCATGAATAACTTTCGTAATGACCGGGGACAGGCCGAATGGTAACCTGTGCTCCAGCTCCGTCTGACTGGACTCAAAATGTCTGGGCCTGCAGCCGGGTAGTCGGGTTGCCTGGCAGACGCGGCGTATGCGCGATGTGCACAAAAGGCGCTTAAATTGCCTTTTTGGCTTCAGTCAATGGGTCGATTTTCGTTCGTTAACCATTCAATGGTCTCTTTTTTTTTGTTTTTGTAGTACGTCAAACTTTGTAAGCCTCAATATAAATTTTTGTATTTTGTATTTTTTATTCCTTTCGGCTGAAGTGCTTCGCGCTTTTGTTTCTCTTATTGTAGCTTTGGGCATTAAATGTTTGGCTGCTCGAAAGCGGTTTAAAAGTTAACTTACAGTTCGGGTGGTGGTCGAGGCACTATGCGGGCTGATAGACTTCATGGCACTCTCCTAGAAAGAGACGAGAAATACGAAATTAATTGAAATTCGAGAGAAAACTTTGTGCTATAGGAAATCAACTATATTTTTTTTTTTTTGTTGGGAAAAACCAGTTGAAGCCGTGTGAGTGATGACAAATTCCAGGAATTCGTATTTAAGCAAACGGGGTTTTTTCCGTGTATATTCTGCTGGTGTTTTCGCTGGCATTGAACGCTGCTCACACTGAGGCCAGTGCAAATTGTCAAAAACTGGCACAAGCCGTGCCACACCACCCACCACCCACTGCCCACCACCCATCATTCGCATGTGGCAAGGACAAAAGAGGCAGAGAGATAGCCTCGTGTTCCCATTTCCAAGTTTACCATGTCGGGGTCAAACTGCCAGCCGACTTTCGTGAGCAAACAAATTGAGACTGTTACTGCGGATTGCCTAAATATGCACTGCATTCTCTTTCTGATTCCTATCGCCGGCAAATGCGAGTGTTTGGCCCGGAATTTTCCTTTTGCCATTTTCATGTTTGCCGGCCGTTGATTAGCGATAAGTGCGAGGCATTGACATGATTTCACGAACAGTCGACTACTGCTGGCAGCCCTAATTGTCCGTGTTAACTGCAGCTAATTACTGGCCAGTTGCAGGAGCTGGGTTTTGCCTTGGCGATTGCATGGGAAGTCGCTTTTCTGGGAAATCGGTCGGGTTTTAATTGAGAGCGCCCAAAAAGCAGAGTCGAATGCATGACTAAGATGCCGGGACTGAGTTATAAATTTAGTTAATTGAATGACTGGCTGTGATGGCGGGGCAAAAACAATTACAAGTGCAGTGCGCGTCAGCCATTTGTCATGCATGCGCCGCCATTAATCAAAAGTTGAATAACCCACACCGCCGTAAAGCCACCTTGGCGAGCCGAAAAAAGTAAAGGCTTGCGATAAAATCAGCCCGCTACTTTGGCCATCGTAATTGTTATTAAAGATGCTCGTGGCCCGGTTGAAAATGAAACGGAATTACTCATCATTAGCCGGAGGTGAGTGGGCAGAAGAAAGCGTTGCATACGCACGGCCGTTGGCCAGTGATGGATTGCCATTGCTATTGCCATTGCCACCGCCACTGCCACTGCTCCCCCGTCTGAGATAATTGACCTCTAAATATACTTGGGCACCGCCTTGTGGGGTCAGCGCCGCAAAGTAGGCTAAAAATATGGCACAGCACGGGGCTTCGCCAAAAAGGACGAGTGCGGAGACTTCTGCGTTGGCGTTCGCCGTGGCCAAAGGGTCCAACAACCTCGATTCGCGAGTGCCATTGACACTGGGCCAAGGAGGCTGTAGTCCGGGCACCAGCTGCCCTGCTGTGCCAGTCGGCCAAAACAAAAATAATGAGAGATACACACAGAAAGGCAGTAGGGAGTCGGGCCACGAGACCAGGCCAAAGCCATTGAACGAGTCCGACTCACGCACTTACGCACTTTTTACGCCCTGGGCCAGAAAGTGGGTATGTTAAGGACTTGTAGTTTATTTTGCCCAGAAAAAAACATGCGTATTTTATTTAAATTTCTATAATTCTTTCTATTTTAATGCGCCTTAAATCGTATTTTTATGTGGACAACTTAAAAACGAAATATGAATATTATATTTCACGTTTTGAATGCGATTTAAAGTTAAAAACCAACCTTTTTATTGAGAACCCTAAATATTTACTGAAAAATCTCAAAATGCTTGAAATACATTCATTTATAAAATTAAGTTTTGTAAAGAGTAATTTACTTATGTATTTATTTGATTGATTAATTTTTTATAAATATAATATTTAGTTTATATTCAAAACCAGTAATGAGTGTGAAAAATAAATATATTTGTTAGGTATTTACGAGTTGTGTCCTTAGCTTAGAGTCTGCCTGCCACATTTTCTTTTTGTTTTTCTTTGCTCTTAAGCAAGTTTTAGCTGTGTGTTATCCCCGCCGCACTCAATCGCCCCGCTTCCTGGCCATTTTATGGCTCGAAGGCAGACGAAGACGGCAAGGTGCGTTCTCGTCTACGTTTCGGGACCTGCGTGCGAGTGGCTCGTTTCAAGGATCCCCAAGGCTCCGTTGCCTGTGGCAACTTTTATTGTGTCATTGGCACGCATCGAGGGCACAAAGTTAAATCTTAAATCATAAAAATCCCCGCTGGCAGCAGGACGAGGGGCTAGGCCAACATTAAAACACCGGCTGTGGGTGGGGTTTTGTGAGAAAAGGATTTGGCTGCTTATTGTTTTGCTTAGGAAAGTGTAAGTTTTTGCTTAAAAGTCGGGGGGACTTAGTTTTGGCTGGCGGTGCATAGGAATTATAAACATCAAACATTTCATGGCTGCGGCTGAGTAATTCCCTTATCTGGCTGCCACTAATTGCTGCCACCGATAAAAGTGAAACTGGCGGGGTCGTGTCCTTGCCACGCTCGTAAATTCGCCCGCCCAACGCACCCACTTTTCCACCCACCGGGCGGGTTGAATAAACTCGATGAGTTTTCAACAGAATCACGCATTATTTGTGTCTGAGTGTCTGTGCGAGTGTGTTTTTTGGAGCGTGCGCCTGTATTTTGTGTTTTGTCAAATACGTCTAGACTTCGAAGGTCAATTTGCAGCTAACGGTTTGGGTTTGGGTTGTAGAGCGAAAAAAAAACGCCAGAATGGAAGAACAAGCACGTATCAGCAATGACCTCTATAAGAAAATTCTTTGGGTTCCGATTTCATTCCATTTCTATGCCATTTGCCTTGCAAATTGCCATTTTTGTGTCATTTGATTTGATTTGTTTCTGTCCCATTTCGTTTGCTTTGCCTCGCTTTTTTGCGCCTTGTTCTTGATTTGATGTTATACTATACCTATACCAAACTATACTATATGTTTTATTGGTCTGTTGTTTTTGCACTTGCAGCCGTGTTTGCCGGTCAGTCGAATCAAGTGAACTGTGGGCAACGTCTGCCGCAAAAACGTGACTAACAAGCGGCTCGTAAATAATCTTTAACCGCTTGCCGCCGATTGCCCTCTCTTTCGCACACCTTCGGCTCATCTCTCTCACTCGCGCTTTTGCAAAATCTCGCATTTTAATTGCAGTTTTTGCCTAAGCGAGTCAATGAAACCTTGTCAACAGATTAACACACACTCGAATTACGTTTTTTTTTTAAGAATATTGAAAGGTTAGGCTGGGTCGAGCAAGGGAGAGAGCAAGATGCTAAGAGAAAGAGAAAGCAGTAAGGTGGAAGAAAGAGACAGACGCCTCGATCAACACACGTTTCAACGTCGATTCGTAGCGCTTTTGTTTTGTTTTTCCTGCTGTTTGTTTTGTTTTAAATTAAATTTCTTTGAGCTTCAAGTGCATTGACTCTTCGCTTTGTGATTTGAATGTTTATAATTTAATTAAACTAAATTTAATTTGCATGCTAACGCAGTTAATTGTAGTGTGAACTGCACATGTCCAGTGCAATGAACTCGCGCAAAGTTGTTGCGGCTTATTTGCGTTTGCGATTTTTCGTCTGGCATCAGTCCATTTAATTCGCCGTTCTGGATGAGCTTATCAAAGTTCGTCTGGCGAGAGAAGACTTCTAAGTCTAAGTAGCGATTTTCACACTCGACTGACGAAAAGTGGCGAAACGACCTTGATGACAATGAACTCGCCTCACCCCATAACTGCTCCCAATGCCAATGCCATTTCCAATTCCATTTCCATTCAACAACAGGGTATAAATATAAACATTCTGTCATACGAGTGTTCGGGTTTTTCAGTGCATATAAAAACATCTATTTTATGGCATGCCACTGATAAGACAGCCCACGAACAATTTGCATTGTAAAGCGTACAGCAAACAGAACTATTCCAATTGTTTACCAACTGTTTGCCGGCTGCCAAGAAGTCTGCCAAAGGTCTTCCGCTCCTGCGATTCCATATGAGTCCATATAATCGGGTTTGCGATAAGTTTCTTTGTTTGATTGACTCTGCTTTTGTATATTTCGTATGTATAGATTTGTGTGATGAACGGGTGGGATTTGTTGGCTTACTTTCAATTCTGTCGTTTCTAAGCACAAAGGCAGTCGGTGCAGAAACGCAATTTTCCCGGACTGAAGGTCAAAATCAGATAAGAGCGCAGTAAACTTCGCTCCATACGTCCCATATCATTGCCAATCAGCAAGTACGCATTTCGCCAGTTCAATGGCTGATTGGAAAACTTCAAAATTCATTCCCGATATAGAAGCAGATATTGCGAGGGCATATGCCTGATTGCAGGTGCGCCGAATATATTATTAAAATTAATCGATGCGGGGCGAAAGCAAATAAGGCCCCGCCAATTGACAAGCGCTGTAAAAAATTACATTGCCCTGTGTATCATGCCATTAATATTGAAACGGAAAACACAAACTAACGAAAAAGGAAAATCCGAATGGGTAGCGGACGTATCAGAGGTTTCACAACTAAATAAAAAAATCCTCCTGGCAAGCATGTCAGTTAATAACAGCGTACAATTTGTGGCAGATGACAACGGCAGGCGGGCGGTTAGGTGGAAATGATTGCTGCAACGGGGAATACTAGAACGAGTGTGAGTATGAGTACGAGTACGAGTACGAATTCGAATATAAATGCATGGAGGCGACTCGGCACCCTGGCACCTGGCTCCTATTACATGCGCACTGCATTATTACAAAAGGCTCCAACAAAAAGGCAGAAATTGCAAATAAAAGGTAATATTAAAAGCGGCAATTTTCCGCGGCAGCAACAGCAACAGCAACAGCCACAGTAACAATCGCTCCGGGGCACCTAACCCAGCAAGAAAACAACGACAGAAACGACAGAAACGGCAACATTGGCGAGTGGAAAAGTTGCCTTCGTTTTGCGTGCCATATGCGAGTTGGAAAGGATTTCCGGTTTTGTGCCGTGGCCTTTTGTAAATTGTTTTGTTATGAAAATGCAGCGAGCGTCGATCTCAGCTAATGGCCGGCTCAATATATTATTTAATATGCAGCCGTAATGGTCATGTTTTATTTAAGCTCCCCC